CTAAGTCACTCATCTGAGATTTATAACTCTGGGGGGACATGATTTCTATATAATTTGTAAATAATCACAAGGTCAGAATAAGCTTTTGGCCATTTTTAGTAAGAAAAGTTTCAAATATTTCTTTTTTAGTCTAATTTAGCTCCTGTGACCTACAGATTGAAACCATTTATATAACCTGTAGAGTGTCATCCTTCTTGTACTTTAGGCAAATTGTACCAAGTGATAAATTAGATGTTTAAAAAATATTGTGGCTAATGACATATGACACAACAGACAAAGACATCACCCTATCATAAAAGCTCATTTCTGAGTTCTTTGTCAGCACTTGGTGCTTAGGTGAGCTGAAAATAAGGCTACAATTGATTGAAATAAGCAGTAGTCAAAAAAAGAAACATTTGCATAATTAATACAAACATTCAAATAAAAGCATATCCTATTAGCTGACTGGTTCATTTGACATATTGTACCAGTTAACTGGTTCATTTGATATACTGTACTATCTGATTGGTTTATTTTAACACAAGAGACAGTTGAATGTTCTTTTTAACAGTCTGAATACCTTACATCATATAGGTTCAATTGAATTTAAAACACCCATTACTGTCTTATACTTTACAAGCTTAACCTGAATTAAAATAATCTTTATATTTTAGACCTAGTATTGGCATTATAAGGACAAATAATAAACTCTAACATAAATCAGAAAGAGAGGAGAATGTACAAATTGACCACCTGCACTCATACTCATATATATGACAAAACTGGAAGCTGGATGTTGTAATTTAATACAATTATCTCAGGTATCTACTGTACTTGTTAAAGTAATGTGTGAATATAGATCAGTAAACTTGGTGGTATACTGTATATAAGGGATAAATACTCTATATCAAATCATCTAAGCGCGGTAATGGGTTAATTCCTATTCAGTATGACAGAAGTTAACCTGTGACTGCACTAAGGTGACAATATCATAGAAAAAACAGAAATGTTGAAAAATTCACAAAAGTCAAAGACTGCAAAATTATCACAAAGTCCAAGAATGCATGTTTACTAAAGAAAACACATGAAAAGCTTTGAAATTTTCAAGAAATTCCAAGAATGATTGCAAAAGTGGAGAGAAATGATCTACACGAAGTAATGCAAACAGCTCAGAGTTAAGTGATAAAAATATATAACAAAAGTTACCACTTAAAGGCCCCACCAGCCACATCAACTATATGTGAAAAATTAGTGGTCTGAAGCCGAATTTGTTTTCAACCTAATTTTTAATCAGTGCACTAAAATTATTATAATTCGAGATTTATCATACAAAACTAATATTTTTGGTAAAACAAATCCCTAAAAAAAAAAACACGCACAAAACTCAAAAAGAAATAGAGGCATAGAAATAATGTGAAAATATTAATTATTTGAAGCCGCACTAAATTCTAACTCAGCCTGTATTTAATGTATTGCCTTGTTCTGAAATCATGTAATGGATGGACTAACAAGCTCACTTCTATATACATCCCATCCCACACCCCATTCCCGCCCAAGCCCCCATCCCGGTCCCAATAACTTCCCTGTTTCTGGGGGTAAAACAAGTTTGTTTGATACAAACATTTTTATCATACCTGTATGAACACATTTGTAAAAGGAGAAATAAAAGACAGCAACAAAAAATATACAACATAGTAATAACAGGGGGAAAAAATACTGATTAAAAAATAAAGAAATATGAAATTAATACCCGAGTAATAAAGACCAGCATATTTAGCCTATGTACAGTATAGTAAGGTGTTAGGAACCTGTCAATGATAATTACCATTACCCTACTGAAACTACAAGTAACATGCCATTGCTACCAGTATAGAATCAGGCCAAGCAATGCATAACTGACCTGTCTCTATACTGGTGTAAGCCAGATTTTTGCATTTTGATAAAGAAATATATATATTTTTTTTTAATGGACTGCTGGAAATTCAAAGTAAGGCAAACCAATTACAAAAATTCAGCAGGGTAAAAGATCAAACCTGCACACCTCCATATGAGTTAACAAATTTTCCAAAAAGAGAAAAAAAATCTTAAAAATTAAACTTAAAAGAAACACATTACCAGTTGTTTTTAAATCATTTTTCACACACTACCCTGCATATTTTATGCAAAAAATCCATCAAAATTACAGTATAAGTTACTACAGTTGTTTTTACAAAGAAAGTGCTTTTCCTGCATATTTATACAAGTAAGGTTATACCATTTTATCTGTACATTTCACCAGTTCGTTTAGGAACTTTATTTATTTTTTCATGAAAATTTAATGGAAATCTGGAGGTGTGCTGCTTTAAGGATGGTTTTATCTCGTATTATAGTGATAGTAGCAATGAGTTGTATTTAAATGATAGTATATAGTATGTACCAGTATATCTGAATTTAGAACAGAGGCATAATGGCCCTACATTGCTCACCTGAGATCCACTGCTTAAAGAGGTTATAATATTTTCTATAAAGACTATAAAGTGACATACTTTATGAATTATGCAGTGTTACAGTGTTCCAATTTGTAGCCTTGAAAATTAATCATGTACCCATATGTTAACATGTTTTAGTGACATGTCACTCCTAGTGTATCTACTCAACAATTCTGTCATAAATTATATGAACCAAGTTCTACCTTGCATTATTTTTAAAATGATTTCAAGTTAGTTTTAGTATTTTAGTTCATTGGTGATTGTGTGTCACAGATTAACAAAAGTTTGATACTGGACTGATTAACAAGTCAAAATAAAACAAAAGAGTATATTTAACATGTTTAAAGGCTGCGAATGCTTTTCACAAATTTGCCCGTCTCAAGCATTCTCACTTCTTTGTTAACTTAATAATTCAATTTTGTTACAGACACTGTGTTACATGTACACATATTATTATTTTTTTATGAACAGTGAAAAATACCAAGTGTTTTTATAGGGGGAGCCAAGCCGTTTGAGCTTTATAATTAGTTATAATGTATTATAACAAGAGTGCCATAAAATGGGGTGGTAGTAGATAACCTTGGTAGAGGGCCAATTATGAATCATTACTGAATCTATCACAGTGTTTAGGAGATATTGTTGATGGAGAAATGAGAAATACGGATAACAACATACAAGACAAGAGACAACATGTGATCACAAAAGCTCACCTCTGCCAACTAAGTGCTCAGATGAGCCAAAAAAAACATATATGAAAACTATTCTTTCAATATAATAATTTTCTTCTTTTAACATCAATTTTCTTATTTAAACATATATTTTTCTTTTAACATAATTATTTTCAATCATTTATTACATAATTACCAAAAATCTTTCAAACAACATTTCATTATTCAAATTTTTTTTAAACCATTGCATTTCACAATACCAGTGTGGAAATTTCACTGGTCAGGTAGGTAATTTTACTTTTATCATATATTATCATCGAGTTTTATTACTCTATTTTTTTACATTATATTTAAAATTAAAAATGCATGATTTATGCAAAGTTTTTATCATAATCAGCATAAGCAGTGCATAGTTAAAGTACTTTATCTCCTAACTTCTAAGCATACTCCGGAAAAAAAAGAAATTTCGAGTTTTCCCAGCTAATCCGGGGGTACAAACAAACATTTACAAAAATAGTTTCTAAAATAAACACAACAGATTGACATAACTATTGGAAAGGGTTGTGCACTGTGAAGTCATAACAGTAAAAGTTTGTTTATTCCGGAGAATTAGCTTGGAAAAAACCTGTTTTTGCCAAGTTCCGGATATTAACAACTATTCTATTTCTAGATGTTCAATGTATCTGACATTATGTAACATCTGTAATCTTTTAAAATATGGAGAGAAACAATAACATTAAAATATTTATCTGAACAAGGATACATTACACATTTCCTTGGTATTACTGTGTAAAGATGCAACATATAAAGACAGACTCTAACTGACAAAGTGAAATATTTAAACAAAAATTTATTTCGTTTCAACTTGAAGAAGGCATGATTGTATTCTAACTCTGCATGATTTTTCAACAGCCTTAACACATTTAAAATACAACCATGAATGTTTATGCTTAAAATGGTTAGTATAATATATTTCAATGCATAATTTCTTACACACGTTGGCAGAATGTCTAACACGCATATGCATAAATATGGCATCAGTAACTTTCACGTTATCATGCACATTTATCTGTGTTGAAATAAAGTAAGATTGCAGATTTCTTCAGTAATTCAATTGTTTCATAACTATATTTTCAGTATTGATCTTTTAAAAAATAAATATTCCATCTTAAACCATAAAATGGCTGTTTACTCAATGGTCATAGATAAATAAAAACAAAATGGTAACATTTACATTGACTGCGTATAAATCAATATAGTGGTCATGTTGTATTTCTCAGTATGTGAATTAACAAATTGTCACATCTCCAAAAGAATTTATCCTCAAGAATATACCATAAATATTTCATCAATACAGAACGTTTTCTAAAGAACAATTCTTCATGAAAATACTACAGAGCATCCTCAAGAATAATTCCTCATGAACATACTATAGTGTATCCTCAAGAAGAACTCCTCATGAACATACTATAGTGTATCCTCAAGAATAATTCCTTACAAACATACTATAGTGTATCCTCAAGAAGAACTCCTCATGAACATACTATAGGGTATCCTCAGGAATAATTCCTCATGAACATACTACAGAGCATCCTCAGGAATAATTCCTCATGAACATACTATAGTCTATCCTCAAAAGTAATTCCTCATGAACATACTAAAGAGTACCCTGAAGAATAATTACTCATGAACATACTATAGGGTATCCTCAGGAATAATTTCTCATGAACATACTATAGTGTATCCTCAAGAAGAACTCCTCATGAACATACTATAGGGTATCCTCAGGAATAATTCCTCATGAACATACTACAGAGCATCCTCAGGAATAATTTCTCATGTACATACTATAGTGTATCCTCAAGAATAATTCCTCATGAACATAGTATAGTGTATTCTCAAGAAGAACTCCTCATGAACATACTATAGTGTATCCTCAAGAAAAATTCCTCATGAACATACTATAGTGTATCCTTAAGAATAATTCCTCATGAACATACTATAGGGTATCCTCAAGAATAATTCCTCATGAACAGACTAAAGTGTATCCTCAAGAATAATTCCTCATGAACATACTATAGTGTTTCCTCAAGGATAATTCCTCATGAACATACTAAAGTGTATCCTCAAGAATAATTCCTTATCAACACACTATAGGGTATCCTCAGGAAGAACTCCTCATGAACAGACTAAAGTGTATCCTCAAGAACAACTCCTCATAAACATACTTTGGTGTATCCTCAAGAATAATTCTTCATGAACATACTATATAAAGTATCCTCAAGAATAATGCCTCATGAAAACATACTCTAGACTGTATCCTAAAATATAATTTGTCTTGAAGACACCATAAGAGAGTTATCTATTAAAAATCATACCCAATGAATATATCACTATCCAGTCAGGGAAGAACTTTAGAAAATGCATCTCCATAAATAAAAGAGTATGTCCTTATCTTAATCTTAACAAGATAATAATAATATATATTTTTTGCACGGAATTTTCTCCTCAATCAGTCACATAAGCATGATATTGTTGTGCAGGAAGAAAATGTACTGTAGATGGAATCGTTTATACTTGGCAGTCTTTTTTAACTGTTCATCCAACTGTTACTTCTCCATTCACACAACTGTCATAACATTTAAACAAAGTGAAAAAAGAAAACATTGCACAATGCTATCCATCTTCCTTTGGCGGGGTAAACCAACCTGCAAGTAAATGAAAATGGCATATGAGCCGCGTCACGACAAAACCAACGTAATGCGTTTGCGACCAGCATGGATCCAGACCAGCCTGCGCATCCGTGCAGTCTGATCAGGATCCATGCTGTTCGCTTACAAACCTTATTACAAGTAGAGAAACTGATAGCAACAGCATGGATTCTGATCAGACTGTGCGGATGCGCAGGCTGGTCTGGATCCGTGCTGGTCGCAACAGCATTATGTTGGTTTTGTTGTGAGGCGGCTCATATTTCTTATGGTATTCAGATTGTTTAACAAAGATGAAAATAGAGGCATTGTCAAATTACTGGATTTATCAGGATTTATCTGTCATTATGTCAAATTTATAAACATTAAAAACAATGTTTAATTTTCACAATTTTTTAAAATAAACAAAACAAAGAATACAGAAAAAAAAGATTAGTCCTTCAAATTACTGATTATTAGTTATATAACACATACAACTTGCATTCTGATCGACCCACAGATACAACAAAAATGTATTAAAATCAGCATGAAAAAACAACAGAACAAGAGCTGTCACATAAGTGAGGAATGCCCATGAAAAGATTTTTTTAAGCATGCAGGTATTATGAAAAGAAAAAGAGAATGAAAGTAACTTATTGCTTAATATTGTTTTTGTGAAATGGAGTACTAGAAATAGCAAACTTTACACCTTGGGACAAGGGTCTTGGATGCGACATATTATCTTGATGTTGTAGACATTTATGCCAAGTTATTTTAAAATCCTCCAATGCATGACAAAGTTACAGTTTGGAAAAATAATGTGTATCTTCAAACTCATCTTATGATCATAGGTACCTTCAAACTATTAGAGTGACCTTGACCTTGGAGGTAGGAACATGGGTCTTGCACACAACACGTCATCTTGATGTGGGAGGCATTTGTGCCAAGTTATTTTAAAACTCTTCAATACATGACAAAGTTATAGTCTGGACACAAATGTGTATACCTATAATCTCTCATTGTGATAGCCTGAACCTTCAAAATATAAGTGTGATCTTGACCTTTGAAGAAGGGATGTGCTTCTTAGATGCAACACAATGTTGTCATGTTGTTGACATTTATGCCTAATTATTTTAAAATCCTTCATGCAAGACAAAGTTACAGTCTGGACATGAAAGTGTGACCCTATAAACTCTAATTGTGATAAAGTGAACTTCAAAATGGTAGTCACCGTAGTGTGGCCTTGACCTTTGAGGTAGAGACGTGATTCTTGAACACAACATATTGTCTTGATGTGGTACACATGTGTGCCTGGTCAGACTACAGGGATGTGCTCTATACTGGTAGCAAATGCTAATCACTTTAAGTTCCAATAGGTAAAAGGAAAATTTTGACAGTTTCAATCAAAATAAACATTCGGATTTCATAATTCATGGGTAATTTTACATTGCTAGAAATAAAGATACTTTACTTACCATTTTTTTCGTGTATTTGTACAAGAGATTTGAAAGACTGTTGAGCTCTTACTAAACTATATTGGCTCTGAAAATAAAATAAAAACAAGACTGCATTTATATGTTTATTTTCATGGTATTGTATAGCACTAATAATATAAACAGTTGGAACAAAAGTAGTTTATCATTTGTTTGAACAAATGATTGTTACGTCACCAGACAATGATCAATGTCAAAAAAGACTCACAGTAAATATTTCAGCTTGTAAAAATAAACACAATTACTGTATGAATCAGAATGTAATGATAAAAAGCATAGGTTAATGTATAAGAAATGGTTATCAATATGAAAACTTAGGAATACTGCCCAATACTGCATAATTATAAGATATATATCTCAATAAGGCCAATTTGACCTCAAGGGAAATGGAAGAGGTCTATTCAGCCAACAGATTAAAATCATGCACAAATCTAATAACCAGTTTTCTGTTGAAAAATCTGGTTAAAAAGAATAACTACTAGCATAGTGTGGTCCGACTTTCTATAAACTGGTAGTATAGGCCTTTCATTATTGAGGCTTGAATGTAAACAGAAAGGTAACAGTATAGATTTGTTTGTTTGTTTGATTGGGTTTTACGTCACACCGACACAGTATTGGTCATTTGGCAATGTTCCAGCTTTACTGGTGGAGGAAGACCTCAGGTGCCCTTCCGTGCATTATTTCAGGCACGAACGGGCACATGAGTAGAACCATCAACGTTCCGTAAGCTAGCTGGACAGCTTTCTCACATGAAAGAATCCAAAGTCACTGTCGGGATTCGTACCCACAGCAGTGAGGGACAAGTGGAACAGTATAGATAGAAATGATAGTGTACCTTTGACGCTCCAAACTGTATGCGAGCTTTGCCTTTGACCAGCGTTGCAGCAATTTGGTATATAACTGATTCCATACTGTAGGCACTACTCCAACCCTGAAAGACAATGTTTTTAACAGATGTATTAAGTTCCATTTGTGCTCAAATTTTCTGTTTATGAAATTTAATAATTGTATGTGAAGCATTTTGTTTACAATAAAATCTTTTAATTATGGATAAAACAGCCTTTCTCATTGGTTGTTCTTTATATAGGTCAGAGGTCATTTTTGTACTATTACTCCATTCCATTTGTTGTATATCAATAAACAATCTTTTTGATTGGTTACTTCACCAGTTAGGTCAAGGGTCACTTTTGTATCGTTACGCCAAACTGTATTTAAGTTAGGTTTTGGCGCCTTTTAGTTACAGTTTTTGTCAAGACACGTTTCCAGTCGGTTGTTTTCTTCGAATTATGTTGCAACACTTCTTTTTTGGGTCATTTTTAAATAATAAAAATAATTATTCGGGGAAAAACAGACTGTGTGAATGATCTGAAATTTTTCATACAAGTTATTGGTCTAAATCTACATCAAATGGAACATTAATCTCGCAAAAATAATTCCTGACCTGTCATGTCAAAAAACCTTTAAAAAGACCATTGAAAAATAATGCAAAAATACTGTTCTTTGAAAAACTGGTTATAATATAGACATGGTCATAAAGACAAGTTCTACAGTTACTCATACAACTATTCAGAAACAATGTAGACGATGCTAGCCCCTAGAAATATCAACTAGTATTCCTAAAAATTTAGTTGTGTACAACCCAGAAGATGATTTTATTTTAGTAATTTACAAAGCAATTCAAAACATAGCTTAAAATTCATTTGGCCTAACAAGGCATACTGATTTCAATGTACATGCATGTGTATATTTTGTTTTGAAAAAAAAAACAAAAAAAACAAAAAAAAGTACACTGATTTCTACAATTACCTGTTTTGTTAACAATTCCATACAAATAGCACCTCCCCCTAAAACATAGCCTCCTTTTAGGACAGGCATTATCACTCGGATGAATGGGGGTTCAAATGGAAAGTTTTCCTGAAATAATGAAAAAGAGAAATTAAAGAAAAACTATGACTAAAAAGCTCTCTTCACATAACATATGAAATAGATATTGCTTAAAACTAAAAAAAATCTATATACATTACAAGGGATGTGAACAAATACCTACAGATATTTTAAATTATTTTCAAGTAACTTACTAACAGCTTCATCTTACTTTTGATGTCTAAATACTAGTATAGTTTTAATCAGCTAAGCTATACTGGGGGAACCTCTGCATCAAAAATGTAAACATGATCAATTTGGGAAAATGACAGATGAATTAATACAAACATTAATCAATTAATTTACAATTAATTACCTTATATAAATCAATGTGTATTTTATTCAAAGATATTGCATCATAAAAAATGTGCATGAAAACAAATTTACATGTACAGTAATCTCCCCTTTATACTGATATTCAGGGGATTGCCAAATTTGTATCAATATAACTGGATATTGTTATATCTGAGTGGCAACCAATTCAAAAACAAGAATTGAGAAAGTTCCTGAATTTGCTTAACAACATGAATATTCATGCTAAAATACTTAAGAAGATTTATCCGCCATGCAAAAGCTTGGCAGATACCTGCCATCACACAGCAGCATTTTCAACACCTTAGTGCAATAAGTGGTTATCTCCTATTAGATTTATAAGAAGTTAACATGTTACTGCACTAAGGTGATGATTTTTCCATTTTTGAGGATGAAACAGAGACTAACAGCAGGCTAGTAACTTAAGACTTAGCAACCTTGGCTATAAAACCTTTTACAACAATGAAACAAAACATTTGCTAAATATCTTAGATGATGATAACCCAACAATAGGATTATGATCTCACATACTTCTCTTAAACAAGATATGTTTGTAAAACATGTATGCCCCCTATCAGCAGCCAATTAGTCATGTGATAAGGTTATTATGACTTCTGACCCAGTGATCAAACAATTATTAAGGGTTATCAAGTATCTACTGGTCATGACCTTAACCTTTGACCCCTTGACCCAAATCTCAATAGGGGTCATCTGCTGGTCACGACCAATCATCATACAAAGTTTGAAGTTCCTAGGCCTAAGCATTTTTAGTTAATTGATCGGAAACCGTTTTAACATACAAGGTCAATGTGACCTTGACCTTTGACCCCTTGACCCCAAAATCAATAGGTCATCTGCTGGTCATGACCAATCACCATACCATGTTTGAAGTTCCTAGGCCAAAGAGTTCTTAAGTTATTGATTTGAAAGCATTTTTACCTACAAGGTCAAAGTGACCTTGCCCTTTGACCCCTTAACCCTAATATCAATAGGGGTCATCTACTGGTCATGACCAATAATCATACCAAGTTTGAAGTTCCTAGGCCTAAGGGTTCTTTAGGTATTGATCGGAAACCGTTTTTACCCAAGAGGTCAATGTGACCTTGACCTTTGACCCCAAAATCAATAGGGGTCATCTACTGATCATGACCAATCACCATATCAAGTTTGAAGTCCCTAGGCCTAAGGGTTCTTTCGTTATTGATCGGAAACCGTTTTTACCTAAGAGGTCAATGTGACCTTGACCTTTGACCCCTTGACCCCAAAATCAATAGGGGTCATCGACTGATCATGACCAATCACCATACCAAGTTTGAAGTCCCTAGGCCTAAGGGTTCTTTCGTTATTGATCGGAAACCGTTTTTACCTACAAAGTCAATTTGACCTTGACCTTTGACCCCTTAACCCCAAAATCAATAGGGGTCATCTGCTGGTCATGACCAATCACCATACCAAGTTTGAAGTTCCTAAGCCTAAGGGTTCTTTCGTTATTGATCGGAAATGGTTTTTACCTACAAGGTCAATGTGACCTTGACCTTTGACCCTTAACCCCAAAATCAATAGGGGTCATCTGCTGGTCATGACCAATCACCATACCAAGTTTGAAGTTCCTAGGCCTAAGGGTTCTTTTGTTATTGATCAGAAACCGTTTTTACCCAAGAGGTCAATGTGACCTTGACCTTTGACCCTTAAATCAATAGGGGTCATCTACTGATCATGACCAATCACCATACCAAGTTTGAAGTTCCTAGGCCTTAAAGTTCTTTAGTTATTGATCGGAAACCGTTATTGCTTACAAGGTCAATGTGACCTTGACCTTTGACCCCTTGACCCCAAAATCAATAGGGGTCATCTACTGATCATGACCAATCACCATACCAAGTTTGAAGTTCCTAGGCCTTAAAGATCTTTAGTTATTGATCGGAAACCGTTTTTGCTTACAAAGTCAATGTGACCTTGACCTTTGACCCCTTGACCCCAAAATCGATAGGGATCATCTACTGATCATGACCAATCACCATATCAAGTTTGAAGTTCCTAGGCCTTAAGGTTCTTTAGTTATTGATCGGAAACCGTTTTTGCTTACAAGGTCAATGTGACCTTGACCTTTGACCCCTTGACCCCAAAATCAATAGGGATCATCTACTGATCATGACCAATCACCATATCAAGTTTGAAGTTCCTAGGCATTAAGGTTCTTTAGTTATTGATCGGAAACCGTTTTTGCTTACAAGGTCAATGTGACCTTGACCTTTGACCCCTTGACCCCAAAATCAATAGGGATCATCTACTGATCATGACCAATCACCATATCAAGTTTGAAGTTCCTAGGCCTTAAGGTTCTTAAGTTATTGATCGGAAACCGTTTTTGCTTACAAGGTCAATGTGACCTTGACCTTTGACCCCTTGACCCCAAAATCAATAGGGGTCATCTACTGGTCATGACCAATCACCATACCAAGTTTGAAGTTCCTAGGCCTAAGGGTTCTTAAGTTATCACTCGGAAACCATTTGGTCTACGGACCGACGGACCAACGGACCGACGGACCGACAAGTGCAAAGCAATATACCCCCTTTTCTTCGAAATGGGGGCATAATCAAGAAACTACAAAGATCTCTAAGATTGCAATAAAACTTACTTTAAAGGAACAGCTCAGCAATAAATGATCTCTGCTCTCTTTTTCTTTGTACGTCTCCATGTCCTGGTACAACGGACTGTCAGGATCTACCCTAAAATAAATACAATCTTGTTAAATTCAATTATGTTCATTTCTTCACTTACTCAGAGGCACAGTCTGCAAATTTAAGTGTTTATATTATGTTTTATCTTCATATCTACTTTCTGCCTGTAGCTTAAAATTTCATTTCTTTTTGTGAGGGGGCAACAGAAAGTGTGACAAGTTAAGTACAGTAACAAAAAAATTTAAATTATAAGCTAACTTTAGCAAAAGGAATTATACTCAATGTTTATAATCAATAATTTTTTGTAACCTACGTTTGTTACTCATACAAAATATTTTGCACAAATTACCTCTGTCCAATTACAATCAAGTGGAAGGTAAATGATCCAAATAATATTAAAATAAAATTTCTTCAATTTAGTAACAAACTTAATTATTGTATCCAAATAATAGTATAATAAAAAATTTTCAATTAAGTAACAAACTTCATTATTGGCAGGATCTAAAATTATTCTGGAATTTTTTTATTTCTCTTAACCTGCTATGTTAATATCTATAATTAGGACATTGTTGTTTAGGAGAAAAGGATTTTCAAATTATGTTTACTTCAAAAGTATGTCTCTATAGCCTATACTACTAGCATCTTCACCAGTGTCATGATATCACAACTGATATTTTAAGGGTTCAAACAGGAAAAAACAAGACAGATAACTATTCACTACCCATATATGCTCGATAAAAAATTTCGTCACCTTGAGCAATAAATATAACAATCTACTTTAAAAACCTTACCCTCTATAATTACGTATTCCTGTGATAGGATGGTTGTGAACTTCAACACAATAGACTATAAATTTATTGTTAAGGATTGGAGATAAAAGCAATGATTTAAAGAACATATGTATATTTAGAAGATTTTTGTTCTTCAAACTCGCACCTCAGACGAAAATACAACATGTCAATCGCAGGGAAGGGTATTGACATGTATTACATAAACAGTTTTGGTAATCAGATTTGATATAAAAAATGACAATACACAGTATGAGTAAAATTACATGTGCCATTACATTACTGCATGAAAACCACAGTTATTCTTAATTTTTGAAAACCACAGCTTAACTAGATTTCTAAAAGCCGCATTCTCTAAATTCCTGTAACTGAACACTTTGGTGTGCTTTAACTTAGGTAAAGGTACACTTTCTCACACAATTTTTTTTTTATTTTCACAAATAGTCACTATTAATGTAAACAAAAACAAACTTATATGTATTGCTGAACGTGATTAACCCCCACTAATGTCCTTGATTGAAGTCAGTGGAAATTACTTCTGTGCAAAAAGATATAGAATTTGTTTAAAGTTCACTATATAATCTATAATTATTACAAACACACAAATGCACACAAGGTGAATGGCACCTCATAGAAGATGCGGCAGTGGCATAAGAATTTAGTGGTCTGAACCCTTATTTAATCTGGACCTGTATTTTAAGATGTTTAACCCATTACTTCATGAGCATTTTGTGAAAAATGGCTGTTTTCATTGAAAAGTCTCCCGTTACAAGTTCAAATTGCTATAATACTATAAAAACTGCTTCAACACTAATCAAACTTGGCACAAATGTTGACTGGACCATTGCCCTTGCAACAACATGCTCGGGCTTAAATTTTCTGTTACCATGGCAACGAGGGGACATCTCAAAATTGCCAAAAATCACTATTTTGCGTTGATTTTTTCCATCAAAATTGATTTCAAAGTGCTGAAACTTCTCAATGGATTGAGATAGAGTCAAATGCTTTTCAGCATTGGTTACACGTTACCTTATGATCAATCTGGGGTCATTGACAGTCTCTCACAAGTCCAAAATTTTCTTGGCGATGAGGGGGACTCCGCCCCCCTTCAAACCGGGGCACATCCCCCTTCTGGCAACCCCCTGATGTATCTTTTGGTTGGGGGGCCGCGCCGAAAAAGAGGTCACTTTTTTTAACAACATTTCTCAAACAAAAACAAGTGTTTGGGGCCTAAGTAAGGTATTTGAGACAACAAAAAGGGGGGGGGGGTGAAAAAGGCGTTAAAAGGCGTGTATATGAAGTAATGGCTTAAACTATTTACAAAAAATTATTTCAATCCTTTCGTTCCTTAAAGAATTATCATCTGTCTGAATTTTTTTCTTCTTATGAAAAGGGACCATTACTAATTAAAAATTTAGTGGTGTGAACCAAAATTCCAACTTGACATGTATTTGATAATGTTACTCACGTGTACAAAAAATAACTTCATTCCAATGACCCCCCAAACAGGTTTTTATTTGGAAAGCTTTTTTTTTGCAAATCTTAAAAGGGAACACAACTCTGTAAAAATTTAGAGGTCTGAACCCAAAATCAAACTTAACCTGTATTTTATGATGTTACACCTATGTACAGGAAATTATTTCAATCCAAAGACTATCATCTCCAAAACTTTTTTTCAAAAATAAAATGGCCTAGGAAAATCTGAAGATAAGGGTCATGGGTATGTCTTAAATCAAATTGACGCCAACTAAACTACTCACAAGGATATAAAGTCATATACGGACCGAGGCGAACTTTATACTCATGTCACAAATCTCCCTTAACAATAACTTGGCATATGTTTATAAACAAATATGAAATTTTTAAGACAGGCACAATACTTACTTTTTTAAACGTATATGCCATTCATATAAACTGTCATTGACTAGTTCCACTGTAAATACTCCTGAAAAGATAACATCAAAATACAATATATGTCCTACATCCTGTAAGATCAAAATTATGAGATAAATGACCATTTCTAAACTCATAATATAACAATGATTTTCCCTTTAATTATCCTGACAATTCCAAACACATCACCGGAGTTTTATTAAATCAAGGAGAACTACCAGTATGCTGAAATATATTTTGTGTCTAAAATGTTTTGAGTTTTCTTTTTCGACCAAATTTATATGATATATCATTTTCCAATAATTTATGGAAATAAAATGTACTACACTTGGATGGAGAAAAGAATCTTTATTTACATTATATTAATATGATAAAACAGTTGAACGCAATTATTTCTATTATGAATTTAACATTGCATATACTGCTGAACAGTTAAAAAACAAACAAAGGGAGAAAAATCTTACAAGAAAACATCACACATTCTACTGACAGTTATATGCCCTTTATATAAGTCACCTATATTCAATAAAACTGTGTTTAAAATCAATCATATTAAATGAAATTGTTTGTTTACAATTAAGATGAACAGCACTTTTTAGATCCAGTTATGATGAATTGTTTAAAGACAAAATAAAATCAAGCTGTCTTCATAACAGGAACAAAGAGTACAACAAGAAAATCTGTTTACAATTTGAAGCCCTTTATATATTAAAAGGGACAGGAGCTCTCGGGAAGAAAAACTTAATATTGGTAAAAGAAAAGGGGAAAATTTTCTTGTCAACAATACTATCAGTACTGATTTTTTTTTTTTTTGCAAAGCCAACTTCAATAGTAAAAGCTTTTTTGTTTTTTTTTAGATGTTTCTAATTCATAGCTTACATTCTGGTGCAAAACCAAAACAAAATACACTGAAATATGTGCTCACCATTTTTAAAACTTTCTGATCTGTATATCTCTCTCAGCTCTTTCATAAGTCTGTCTGTAGCCTGTACCGAGCCAGACACAGATCCCTGAAACATAAAACATTATAATGTCAACACTGTAGCCTGTACCGAGCCAGACATAGATCCCTGAAACATAAAACAATATAATGTCAACACTGTAGCCTGTACGGAGCCAGACACAGATCCCTGAAACATAAAACAATATAATGTCAACACTGTAGCCTGTACCGAGCCAGACACAGATCCCTGAAACATAAAACAATATAATGTCAACACTGTAGCCTGTACGGAGCCAGACACAGATCCCTGAAACATAAAACAATATAATGTCAACACTGTAGCCTGTACGGAGCCAGACACAGATCCCTGAAACATAAAACAATATAATGTCAACACTGTAGTCTGTACCAAGCCAGACACAGATCCCTGAAACATAAAACAATATAATGTCAACACTGTAGTCTGTACCAAGCCAGACACAGATCCCTGAAACATAAAAAATATAATGTCAACACTGTAGCCTGTACGGAGCCAGACACAGATCCCTGAAACATAAAACAATATAATGTCAACACTGTAGCCTGTACGGAGCCAGACACAGATCCCTGAAACATAAAACAATATAATGTCAACACTGTAGCCTGTACGGAGCCAGACACAGATCCCTGAAACATAAAACAATATAATGTCAACACTGTAGTCTGTACCAAGCCAGACACAGATCCCTGAAACATAAAACAATATAATGTCAACACTGTAGTCCTGTACCAAGCCAGACACAGATCCCTGAAACATAAAACAATATAATGTCAACACTGTAGTCTGTACCGAGCCAGACACAGATCCCTGAAACATAAAACAATATAATGTCAACACTGTAGTCTGTACCGAGCCAGACACAGATCCCTGAAACATAAAACAATATAATGTCAACACTGTAGTCTGTACCGAGCCAGACACAGATCCCTGAAACATAAAACAATATAATGTCAACACTGTAGTCTGTACCAAGCCAGACATAGATCCCTGAAACATAAAACAATATAATGTCAACACTGTAGCCTGTACTTAGCCAGACACAGATCCCTGAAACATAAAACAATATAATGTCAACAATGTAGTCTGTACAGAGCCACATAGATCCCTGAAACATAAAACAATATAATATCAACACTGTAGCCTGGTACCAAGCCAGACACAGATCCCTGAAACATAAAACAATATAATGTCAACACTGTAGCCTGTACCGAGCCAGACACAGATCCCTGAAACATTAAACAATATAATGTCAACAATGTAGTCTGTACAGAGCCACACAGATCCCTGAAACATAAAACAATATAATGTCAACACTGTAGCCTGTACCGAGCCAGACACAGATCCCTGAAACATTAAACAATATAATGTCAACAATGTAGTCTGTACAGAGCCACACAGATCCCTGAAACATAAAACAATATAATGTCAACACTGTAGCCTGTACCAAGCCAGACCAGACAGAGCCAGACACACAATATAATGTCAACACTGTACTGAACATAAAAAATATAATGTCAACATGTAGCCAGAACAGAGCCAGACACAGATCCCTGAAACATAAAACAATATAATGTCAACACTGTAGCCTGTACAGAGCCGGACACAGATCCCTGAAACATAAAACAATATAATGTCAACACTGTAGCCTGTACCGAGCCGGACATAGATTCCTGAAACATAAAACAATATAATGTCAACACTGTAGCCTGTACCGAGCCGGATATAGATTCCTGAAACATAAAACAATATAATGTCATTACTGTAGCCTGTACCAAGCCAGACACAGATCCCTGAAACATAAAACAATATAATGTCAACACTGTAGCCTGTACCAAGCCAGACACAGATCCCTGAAACATAAAACAATATAATGTCAACAATGTAGCCTGTACAGAGCCAGACACAGATCCCTGAAACATAAAACAATATAATGTCAACACTGTAGCCTGAACCAAGCCAGACACAGATCCCTGAAACATAAAACAATATAATGTCAACACTGTAGCCTGAACTGAGCCAGACACAGATACATGAAACATAAAACAATATAATGTCAACACTGTAGCTTGTACCAAGCCAGACACAGATCCCTGAAACATAAAACAATATATGTCAACACTGTAGCCTGTACCGAGCCAGACACAGATCCCTGAAACATAAAACAATATAATGTCAACACTGTAGCCTGTACCGAGCCAGACACAGATCCCTGAAACATAAAACAATATAATGTTAACACTGTAGCCTGTACCGAGCCAGACACAGATCCCTGAAACATAAAACAATATATTGTCAACACTGTAGTCTGTACCAAGCCAGACACAGATCCCTGAAACATAAAACAATATAATGTCAACAATGTAGTCTGTACAGAGCCTGACAGATCCCTGAAACATAAAACAATATAATGTTAACACTGTAGCCTGTACCGAGCCAGACACAGATCCCTGAAACATAAAACAATATAATGTCAACACTGTAGCCTGTACCGAGCCAGACACAGATCCCTGAAACATAAAACAATATAATGTCAACACTGTAGCCTGTACCGAGCCAGACACAGATCCCTGAAACATAAAACAATATAATGTCAACAATGTAGTCTGTACAGAGCCACACAGATCCCTGAAACATAAAAACAATATAATGTCAACACTGTAGTCTGTACCAAGCCAGACACAGATCCCTGAAACATAAAACAATATAATGTCAACACTGTAGCCTGTACCGAGCCAGACACAGATCCCTGAAACATAAAACAATATAATGTCAACACTAGCCTGTACCAAGCCAGACACAGATCCCTGAAACATAAAACAATATAATGTCAACACTGTAGTCTGTACCGAGCCAGACACAGATCCCTGAAACATAAAACAATATAATGTCAACACTGTAGTCTGTACCGAGCCAGACACAGATCCCTGAAACATAAAACAATATAATGTCAACACTGTAGCCTGTACCGAGCCAGACACAGATCCCTGAAACATAAAACAATATAATGTCAACACTGTAGCCTGTACAGAGCCAGACACAGATCCCTGAAACATAAAACAATATAATGTCAACACTGTAGTCTGTACAGAGCCAGACACAGATTCCTCAAACATAAAACAATATAATGTCAACACTGTAGCCTGTACAGAGCCAGACACAGATCCCTGAAACATAAAACAATATATTGTCAACACTGTAGTCTGTACCGAGGCAGACACAGATCCCTGAAACATAAAACAATATAATGTCAACACTGTAGTCTGTACCAAGCCAGACACAGATCCTCAAACATAAAACAATATAATGTCAACACTGTAGTCTGTACCAAGCCAGACATAGATCCCTGAAACATAAAACAATATAATGTCAACACTGTAGCCTGTACCGAGCCAGACACAGATCCCTGAAACATAATACAATATATGTCAACACTGTAGTCTGTACCAAGCCAGACACAGATCCCTGAAACATAAAACAATATAATGTCAACACTGTAGTCTGTGCCAAGCCAGACACAGATCCCTGAAACATAAAACAATATAATGTTAACACTGTAGTCTGTACCAAGCCAGACATATATCCCTGAAACATAAAACAATATAATGTCAACACTGTAGCCTGTACCAAGCCAGACACAGATCCCTGAAACATAAAACAATATAATGTCAACACTGTAGCCTGTACCGAGCCAGACAGAGATCCCTGAAACATAAAACAATATAATGTCTACCATAATAGATCTCCACAATATATCATACTATTCAAGTTTCTACAGGTCATTTTTATATTGTATCATCACAATTGTCACTACTATTAACCACAATATCATGAAACTGATTCAATACCATTTACATAAGGCCGTTATCATAACATTGAGAACTGCCTTTTAAATGTGCAAGTCTGTTTTCCTTTTCTAACACAAAAATATGGATCAAAAGACAAATAAACAAAGCAGACACCTGACAATGAGATATATTTAACACATTCCTTACTTGATATATTATTTTTGGGGGTTTAAATCAAACTTGATTTTAATCGTACACACCCAAAGATGTAAATATTTTCAGACATATCAAATTAAATTATTATAACAGAATAATAATTTAATCTACATAATATATATAGTGATTCAAATTTCTCAGAAAAGAAAAAGTTGAAAGCCCACTATCTTAATTGAAAAGGTTATAGATTTCTATTTTTTTTTAGCAAATTGAACTTAAACTTTATGACTAATCCCATCAAAAAATTCCATCAAAAATGATCTAATACAGTATCCCATAGATATAATATAAACCTTTTATGTAACTGTTCTTTATCATATATGTGAGGAATATATTTTTATCTTTATTAATACTATAACAACAGGACACACAACAGAATAATAATTTAACCATAAAGTCATAAAGTGACTACTCAAATTTAATCACAAGTGTTTTGTCAATCAGTCAGAGATAAAATGCAATAGAACATTATTTTATTTGTTAAATTCATTCCCTGTTCCTGATTTCTCTGAGGTTTTGAATCATTGTATCTAATTTGGTCACAATTAGCAATTCTAAACATGTTTTATTTTTTTAGGTACTTTCCAAGTATCATTTAACTTTTCTGAAAACCTCCTCCTCTCGGATTATGACCAAACATCATGAAATTTTACTATTATCACTTTTTGCCTCAAACATTTCAGATTATAAATGTCTACTTTATAACCAGTAAGAATGATTTCCCCATATATAGGGGTTGTGTATTCCCACATCTATTGTTCAGAACCATATCCTACTTAAGTACTTCAACAATTAACTAAAGTACGTATGACTCATTCTTCACCACATGACTTTCATAATTTCTTAAGTTAGTTTCACAAAATTTTTTTTAAGTAAATACATGTAAATATAAACAATAAACAACACTTATAAGAAAATCATTCATCAGATTTCATATTGCATATGATACACAGTGATTTTCTCTCCAAATTTCAAAGGGGAAAATTTCTCAAAGGGGGAAATAATTAGCACAATAAATCAGAAAAGGGGGAGAACTTAAAATCAAATTTCAACAAATGAGAATGGAATTATCCCACACATTTTACAAATTTTTCAATTTAACATGTGTGGTACATAGCAGAGGTTATCTATAGGGTCAGCTTTATGTCTTTTGGTCAATCAAATTTATCAACAAACTGATTAAAGTCAGCTGCTGTTAAATCATGGTTCTTGTAAAAATGTGCACATGGTATTTCAGGGGAATATATAGCATTTTTTATAGGGGAAAGAATATATCTAGTTTGGGCTAGGGGAAACAGCCATTATTAAGCTGTAAAATATAGAAAAAAATCATTAGTAAATTCAAAGTAAATGTAAACATTCATAGCTGTAAAAGGCTTAAAGCTTCATAGCAAGCCCAACAGCAATGTAAATGTTTTCATATGTGCATAATTGTTAACTTGTACATAACAGTTATACTATCAATAATGGGAGATTATATATTATAACAAGAACTGTCGGAGGACAGAAACGCTCGACTATTGGAAAAGTTGTCACAAGGGTGTTTCATTGAGTATAATAATGCTTACCTATATGAATACATAAAATTGTCCGAAAAGGTACAAACCCTTCAGTAGTTATGAAGATAACAGCTTACAAGCAAAAATTTACCAAGAATTTCTAAGTCAAAAAAGGGGCATAATTATGTAAAAAAGCAAATCAGAGTTATGGGACTTGTGCCAATCATCTAAGATAATCACAGACAACAAGAGTGTGAAGTTTCAATCCATTCCCTTCAGTAGTTATGAAGATACCAGCTTAAATGCAAAAACTTAACCAAGAATTTCTTAGTCGAAAAAGGGGCATAATTATGTGAAAAAGCAAATCAGAGTTATGGGAGTTGTGCCAATCATCTTAGATAATCACAGAGAACAAGTGTGTGAAGTTTCAATCCATTCCCTTAAGTAGTTATGAAGATACCAGCTTAAACGCAAAAACTTAACCAAGAATTTCTAAGTCGAAAAAGGGGCATAATTATGTGAAAAAGCAAATCAGAGTTATGGGACTTGTGCCAATCATCTAAGATAATCACAGACAACGAGAGTGTGAAGTTTCAATCCATTCCCTTCAGTAGTTATGGAGATACCAGCTTACACACAAAAACTTAACCACAGGGACGCCGACGCTGACAAATGGGTGACTGCATTAGCTCGATTATTCTGCGAATAGTCGAGCTAACAAAAATCTCGAAATAGTAAAGCATCTGTCGAGTTAGATTCAGCCAAATCATGAAACAACTTTCACAATATTCCCACCATTTCAACTTCTATGTGATCCTTTCTTAATATCTAAACAAAATTCACAAAACACTAGACTGTAAAACTGAATTTAACATAATAATCTATATATTAAGCTGATAGATTTGTAAGATAAATGCCTTTAAGAAGACCAGTGAGTTAAGCTGTCTCCACCTAGTGATTGTTGAAGCAGGTCTTATTAACAAGGTATGAACAAGTAATATTAGAGCACTGCTTATAAAGAGACTAACATGTCTGAAAAAGTTTTAAATTTCCTTATCACAAAACAATTACCCTTTCCTTATCATAAAACAATTACCTTTAAGTATTCATCTCGTTGACTTTGTTTCAGTCGCTCTAAAACAGCTAAGTTTTCTGTGTCTATACCATCCACTTCCTCTTTGGCTTTCTGGTCACTGTAAATATATGCAAAATGTATTATGTGTCATTTGAATACATCTAAACTGTAAAATGTGTCCACAATCCGAAGCATACAAGGAATTCATCCATCCAAGGTGCCAAACTGACTTTTTTTAACATGGGAGGGTGGGTATAAGATGAATTTTTCTAGCCCTTTGTAAACTATAGAAATCCTGTCTGATATGAAACAGATTACCATCTTAACAGCAGTTAACTTTTTCTTGAACTTTTTTCATGAACATTACACAATGACTATATACTAAACTTTAATAACTCAGAGCTTTTACTCCATGAAAGCAAATATTTTACCAGTAATCTATAGTCATTAGGCTTGACAATATCATTCAATATGGCAAACAAAACTGTAAAAAGTAATATGACAATGCCATTTTAAGAATTTTTTAAGAAATCATTCAAGTCCTTCTGATACTATTTTAAGGTCAAAGAGCAAACTGTTCCCATCTGCATTAATTTCAGCATGGCAGTGACAGCCAATTACTGTGAAACTGAAATAGTTATTTCTCAACACATACTGTAATTGATTTATTATAGAAAATGTAATTTTTATTTTCAGAAATACGTATTAAAGTTACTATAGAAGAACTATCTTTGTTTATCTAATTTATAGAAATATTTTAGCATATTTTTTGGTCATATCTTTGCGGTTAATCTCTCTAACCTGCTTTCCTGGTTAACAAACCAGCAATTACTTATTTCTCTGCCAGTGATCGACTACTAAGCCAACATGATTTTCTGAATCAGGGGTGAGTGACCGAGACTATCAGACCCAATGTCTGCGACAATTCTCAGAGAAAAATTTTACATCCCCAGAGGATCAAACCAGCGACCACTGGAATACTTATCTGATGCTCTCTAATGAGCTTAGCTTGCAGACATAGAACTATAAACCTTACAACGTTCCTTCCTTACGACAATTATTCTAATTCCCTGGCTCATTCTTTTTTCGACTAACTCAAAGTCAATACAGGATAAATATATCATTGTCTAAACATACTTTTGAGCATCCTCCTCCATGTCATAATGTAGTTCATCCTCATCCTCACTCTCTGAACTCTGGTCAACAGACAACATGCCCTGACAAATACAAAATCACTATAATTTATTGTACATGTACACAAAGTTACATAAATACAGATATATTCTCCATCTTCAAGACATCAATATAAATGCTGGGATAAAAGCACAATTTGACAATAAAAACAAGAGCTGGCAGTAGAACAGCATGCTCCATTATTCTCAGTGCTTGATAGTTACACAAGGGCATGGATAATGTAGAATTTTCTACCTTCAAAAAGAGCTATATTTCTGTCAAAATACATATTTTCGAGATATGGACCTTGGACAGTAACCTCCTATTATGCTCTCAAATAAGTGTGTGCAGTTTCCAACCCATTCCCTTCAGTAGTTTTGATTACCAACTAACATGCAAAAACTTTACCAAACTGTTGCTGACACCTAGGTGAGTACATTAGCTCTACCTATTCTTCAGATAGTCGCCCTAAAAATGAGCATAATGTTACTTTAATGGTTTTTTAACTAGCAGTTTGACTAGCATAGGGACACACACTGTGGTAATTCTATACTAAGTTCTTCTTTATGTTAGTTTATGCATAGACATGCATCTTGGTAAACCACTTAAAAAGAATTGTACCATCAACTGTATACCTCAAGCAATTTGTGGTAAAATGAGTATCAGATAATTGCGACTGAACAATATATACTATACCGACTGGATACTTTTCAATATATCTACATTCTTTCCTTTCAAATAGAAATATTAAACTAAAATTATCATACCCTTTCATCTAACTTGGCATCCAGTGCTAGCAGCTCATCAGGAGTTTCAACATTTGATAAATTACAAAGCTCCACAAGCAAAATTCTTACTTGCTGCAAAATCTGAAATCATCAATCATTAATTATCAATATTGACAATAAAGAACACAGGCAAAATACTTTACAGTAATTACAATTCAGGATGCATTGAATACCGGTAAGTTCAGTTACATACAGTACATGTTCAATTGTATATACATGTATATTGACTGTATCATAATCAAATCATAAAAAAACATATTGTTGCAGCCTTAGTTTAAACCTAGTTTCCTCATGAGGCACAAACACTGCTTAGTTCTAAGAAGCAGACTTGTGAAATCAGAATGGTTACAAAAAGTTTCAAGCTTTTATCATAGTCAAGCAATAAAACTTACAATTCAAAAAAGGCCTGTCATGGCAAACGCAATTATCATGCCTTATAATACATACATTGTTTTTATCTGCAGAAACATTTGTAAGTTTTTCTATGGCTGCAGTGACAACGACATCATCTTCATCACAAAACCAAATTGGAGCAGTCTGTGGGTATGTCTCCTGAAAATTAATGAAAAAACATGTCTTAACAGATTCTGCCAGACTAGATTTACCGGGGGTCATTTGTGACCCTCTGTATAAAAATATAGGGGTCATTTGAAATTATGAAGGGTCGAATTTATTTTAAAAAAAGAGTAAAAACTACAAAAGTAAATCAGAACTGTTTGATTTCACATGTTAACTTCAATTTCTTACTTTTTGCATTTGCCAACGAAAAAATCTTCTATTTAAAGGAAGAACCAATTATTTCCTTATTTGCATTAAAACATTTAACCTGTCAGACATTTGATTATAGCAGAAACTTTGATATTTTTGCCAATATCTTTCGTGGTGTGTTTACCATTGTGAAAAAAAGTGTCTACATGCACAAATCAGACCGTACATGTCAAAATCCCGGACTGATTGTAGAACTGCAGGAAATGTGCCAATAATGACATAGAATAGGTTAGCAGTTTATACAAACACCCAGTAACCGGAAATAAATGAATTTTGAATACTCAAACATTAATTCCCAATTTAAACAGGATGGCGCTAATAATAGGAGAAATAACTTAATGAAAAGACATCCAATTAAGGTAGATTATGTCTGCTTCACAGAGAACGCCCTTTGCAAATTCCAATGCGTCATCTGTTAAATTATTGTGTCAAAAACGCAAAGTAGTGGAAAGACTGCAAATTTATAAAATTTGAAATGAGATTTACGAAAGTAAAAAACAATATCGGTCATCAATGTGGGCCAGAAAAAAAACCCTGGACTATGTATTGTTTTGTTAACTCTAGGGAACTTGTGTCATGTGTGCAATTTCCGGTTTCCTTTGTTGATCTTTAATAAGTAAAATTAATTACAAGCAATAGTCAAAGCCAACAATCTCCTTCTGCCCTTCAACGTCAGAAGATTAAATTACATTTATTGGATAACAATGGGCAGTCCTCATAATTTGTCAAAGCAAGTTTATGAAACAGCATTGCTATCCACAAGTGGTAAGATTATTTATTTCAATCGGTTACTTAAACAGATCGAGTCATAGACCGTCTCAATGCAGTGTTCGCGTTTACTGAGTAAACATATCAATTTACTCGCTAAAATTGCCAGGGAGGAAAGAAAAAAAGGGCTGTTGAGTCCCTGGGACGAAACACTTTTTCCCCGATAATTGGTCAATTCTCTCTTTAAGTTTTTTTGCTCTGCTTGAAAATGATTTTCTATTCACTTTAAATAAATTGTATTATAAGAACTTGACTTTCACCTCATTTTCATTTGTTCCTTTCTCATTAGCAATGCAGATTTATATCCCAAACGTAGACTAGGAGCAAGTGCTCGGCCACGTTTTGGGCCAACCTATCAATGGTATCCGCGAACATCAACAGTCTCAAATTTGATTGTATTATGAAGTTATGCAAACATTGACATTTTTGTAATTGAGGACTCGTTCCATTTGAATTGGGACGTAACAGATCTATTAGCACTGAGTCCCAGGTACTCAGTAAAGTTAGGGAAAATCGCTAACACTGTCAATGTGTCCCATTATGGGTCCAATATTTTTGAATATGATTCATATATTGCGACTGTGTGAATCTTAGAGGGGCATTGGCGCAGTCTAGCAAATGGAAAATCATTGACCTAGTCTCATCTGCTTTAAAAAAATTTAACCTGTCAAATGATAGTCTGTTTCTTTCAGGCACCTTGTTATTATTTTGGACACCAAAGCCACTTTCTTTTGTGGTTTGTCTGCTTTTGTGAGAAAAGTGTCTGCATACACTAATCACACTGTTACCCAGACGATAAATGTCTAAATTGCGGATACTGAAACTTAGATATTATGGAACAGTTAAAAGTGTGCGGATAACTACAATGAATCTGTTAGCAACTCATACATAAACCAGAAACTCTAAAACAAATTTCGGACAATCAAACAATAATTACATCTACATCATACTCACTGCTTCAATGGGCAAACAGGACGTTTCGGCCCCAAACCAAATCGGCCCCAGTCGAAAAATCGGCCCCTGGACGTTTCGGCCCTTTTCCGCGAGACGTTTCGGCCCCACTATAGTGTATTGCTTGATTGATTAACAACAATTTATTTAATTACAATTAAACAATTATGACACTTTAATTCTTTGAATAATTATTTATTATCTTTTGATCTCTTGAACCATTTAGATATACGTTAATGCTCTTAAAGGTGTAACAAACAATAAAGGCCGGTTACTTACCTATAAAACAAACCACTAAAACTTCTGGATTAAGAAAGTAACTTTCAATTTTTCCTTAGAATACATTATCTTTTGATCTTAATTAAACTTTATATACGTAATTTTTTCAAAGTGTAACTAATTAACTGTTTATACTTTATGCTAATTGGCGGTATTGTTTTGTGTCTTGCTTCTTAATCATTTAAATAAAATATTATCTATATATGGTTAATAATTGTTTGTTTGTGTATTATATTTTTTCAAATAAAGTTTATGTTCTGTTCTGTTTGTATTGATTACTTTCCCCCTACTACTATAATAATCTAGTTTTTATACAAAATGATTAAATATATATATATATAAATTGATTAATTTTTTTATTGAAATGTTATTAATATATCGGTTTAAAATACAGTACTTATTCTGGGGCCGATTTGGTAAAGGGCCGAAATGTCCGGGGCCGAAACGTCTTGGGTAGTTTGGGGCCGATACGTCTTGGGGCCGAAACGTCTCGAAACCTGAGAGACAGCTACTGAGCTAATGAGACACAAAGGAATTCAGAGACCAGTCCCTAGTTCTTATTGAAAAGATCCCTTGGTTTTGAAACGGTCATAGAAAATGAGTTTCGCAAATTTCAATGCGTCATTCCTAAAATTATAGCATCAAATTCGCATTAGAGATTCGTCATTTAAATTTTCTGAAACTGTTTCAGTGTTTGTTTGAATTTGATACAAATTACAATCATAATTTCTTCATTTAATTTTTAAGCAAGATTTTGTCCTAGAACGGCCGTCTCTGAAATTATGAAAAACCTTTTGATATATAAGCATTAAATATAGTCATAAAATGATAACTGTGGCAAGAAATAATAATTTATATTCTTTCCTATAAAATTTAACAGGAATGACACAGCACTCGGCACCCATTATAAATTTGAAAAGAAACCACATGACTGATTACATAAAAAGACAACAAATAACGAAAAGATGAATGGCTCTTACAGTTATATTTGCATGAATATTGTAGTTTTCACCATCTACGCCGACAAATTGACAACAAAGTTCGTCAACAGACGATGACAAAATTTTAAACCTTTCGTTTTCACGATTAAATGTTTGTTCTAGGATTTTAATGTCCTGTTTAAGGGCTTGAAGGCACGCCATTTGATTAGTTTCAACTCATGAGTGTTTCATTTAAGATCAAGTCTTTGTAAAAATGGTCTTATTTTAGTTCTTGTACGAATTTCATGTTATGATTCTTCCATTATGGCTACTTATGCACAACTGCGCATGCCCATAAGGAAGTCAATTCCTAGGTTACAAGCCACTAAGAGCTGTAACTGGGCATAACAAAATATAGACGAACCGATCTAGTGCTACCTTGATAGAGAGGTGGTGATGTCTTTGGGTTTTTTTATAATTATTGTCTGTCTGATTTTTTTAATCCCCGAAAGAAGAGCACATAGTCACCGCTTTGTCCGTTCGTCTGTATGTCTGTCCTTCACTATGTCCGTCCGTCCGCATTTTAATGCCCGGGACCAGAAGTAGCAACAATAAAAATGTAGGTAGATATATCTCATTGAGTAGAAGTGCAGTGCACAAAAACAGTAACTCTGCCTTGCCTAATTTTGGAGTAATTGCCCTTTTTTATTTTTACACTTTGAGCTTAGTTCGGGACTAGCCCAACAAATTGTGCGCTTTAGGGCATTTTATTATACAGGCGATGGTCGCCCTTGTAAAGACACACGGGGAGGAATCACGCCGTTCGTTACCCAAACAAACACTTGATGGCGGATGCAGCCAAAAAGTAGGTTTTTCCCTTTTTTCTCTGAAATTCATGATGTTCTTGTGTAATGTTACATATAACAACCTTCTACACAATTTTCCTGGCACGCAGAAATTTATTTCATGGTGTTTCGTCCCGTACTTCTTCTGAAATGCGCGTCACCAGATTCGAAGCAAGAGAATTTTCCACCGGTTTGATCGTGGTAACGTACGGCTTCTTCACTCAAATTCGCTGTTTCCTAACATATATGTATATTAACTGAAACCACTGACTTTAAGAAGTTGTAATATGTTGTCAAGTAATCATTCATGCCCATTTTGGCTAGATTTACTGGTGTAAATATTAATATCGGGGCATTTTCCGGAAATGATAACGTATGGCGTATGGCACCAATTCTGACCAAGATGATGTTATATCTGGCGTTCCCCAGGGAACCGTACTAGGTCCACTTCTATTCCTGGCCTACATAAATGACATGCCTGACTGCACATCATCTGACATCCGACTCGAGATCTTTGCGGACGATAGCCTCATGTACAGGTCATCATCAGAGTACAAATGACAAGGCAAGGCTGCAAGCAGGATCTTGAAGCACCTGGAACAATGGGAACGAACCTGGCTTTTGCGCTTCAATGCTTCCAAGTGCTATGTACTACACATATCATCAAACAAAAAGATAGATCACCAAACACCAGTATATACTTCATGGCCAAGTTCCTGCAATCAGTGGACCACAGCAAATACCTTGGTGTTAAGTGTCTCCAACAACCTTTCATGGACAAGCACATACAGAATGTAGCTGCCAAAGGAAACAGAACACTGGATTTGTGAGGAGAAACTTGAAGGATTGTACCACCACAACTGAAAGCACCAAGTTACTGCACTTTTGTACGCCCAGGTCTTGAATATGCAGCAACGGTTTGGGATCCTCATATTCAGACACCACATAGATTCAATTGAGCAGATCCAGAAAAGTGCAGCCAGGTTTGTCAAAAATGACTATAAATCCAGAACACCTGGATGTATGACAGAAATGCTGAGGAGCCTGGATTGGAACACCCTCCAACAGAGAAGGAAGGAAGCAAGGTTAGGCATGCTCTACCGCAATTCAACATGACCTAGTAGACATCCCAAGGACAAGTACCTACCACTGAGTAACCAATCCAAGAAGCAACACCACCAGTGACAGTAGAACACGTATTCGTTTCTACCAAGAACGCACCACTGGCAGGATGTATACAAATACCTTCTTCCCCAGGACAATTGTTGACTGGAATGGCTGGCACCAACAGTCTCCGCCGCGGAAACGCTGGATGCTTTCCGCGCGCGCCTGCCGGCCTCCATCTAAATTCACTTCACAACGTCTCTGTAAATAAATTTTTATCAGTTTTTACAACTTTTATCGCTGAGAGGAAGAGTGTTCCATCTCACCATGTACATAGTTTCGCAGAGCCTCATTACGTTCCTTTTGGATCCCGGCTCTTATACTGGAAGAAGAAGAAGAAGAAAATATCAATGATAACGTATGGCGCATTTTTCTACTTAATTGGTGGATTTCTATTTGTCCAGTAAGCTGATAATAAATTATTTGTATGTAAGAAATGATAGATATTTGAAAAAAAAGTTTGTCATTTCAGATTTTAGGATTCTACAGTTGTTATTATTATTATTACGTTATTTTTACCTTATCTTGCTTTGACCATGCATATTGTCATCCAGGAACATGTGCATCAAACGGTTATTGTACAGTTTGAGAGATTAAAAAACAACGACTTATGCTGTTTCTACTTAATTAGGACACTTTATTGCTTATAATTATCATTTATTGTCGAGGAATATTCAGAAACCATATAAGAATTAGTAATGCAACACTTATTTATAGCAATGGAGAGGCCTCATTTTACTTATGTCCCATGTAAAGTTTCAGTTCCCCAGTGCTTGTTAGATACATATAATCTAATAAAAAAAACAAACAAAAAAAACAACAAAAAACAAACAAACAAACATACATACATACATGTATTGAGTTTTAAAATACAAATATATGAATATCATGAATAACTTTTATTCAGAACAAGACATGAAGCTGATAAATCAAAATGATTTCACTTACAATATGAACTTCGCGGGATTGGAAAAAAATAAATACATGTATATCATTTTCTTACTTGAATGTAGAATACTGCTTAAGCAAATGCTATGGACGTGGAATGTAACGTGTTTTACTTCTTTCCATAAACATTGTATGCTCTTCTGGTGATCTTTTTTACTGTCATGTAACCAGCAACCCAGATGTTTTGTGCTTCCTTGTGCCCTTTTCCAAATATTTGGCTCTGAACTCTAGTGATGTCATGCTCATGAATTTTGTAGTATTCAACTTTAACGATTTTGAACCCGTTTACTCGAGTTTGACCAAGAGAGCTTCACAATTTGACCTGAGCTCGGGCGTTTCTAATGCTGCGACAGTGTCTGACTGCAATTAAATCTCCATCAGCTGTCATAGTCGCTTCGGTATATTAAAAAGAAAAAACTTGGGATTCAGAATTTCGTTTGTAAAGTGCTTAAGTTTAAGAAAGGATTAGTTACTTATGATGATGTTTGGTATTGTGGATTCATTTATATATCTCTACATGATCATTTCGATGTATTACTTATTTCAAATTATGTAACCACAAGAACTGTTAGAATTCCACTCGGCGGGGATTCATTTTATTTACACTGTCTCGTTTATAGGACTGAACTAGTGGGGGGTAAAGTAGGTTTGGTGACCATTAACCCGGTTTAAAAATCCCCAGCGGTCTTGTGTGGTGTTTCAAGGCCTCCCTTTGGGTTTTAAAATGTATGTCCTTTTTTTTTCATACTGTTTTGGGACACTTTTGTTTTTTGTCCCTTTTTTTTTTTCGTCTGCGGGAAAATATTTCCCCTTTTGTCCTAGTTTTTTTTAATTTTTCCCCCCCCGTTTCCCCGTACTTCAATTAAGTCCCCTTCCCCTGTGCCCTTTTGCTTTGTCGGCCTATTAATCAGCCAATTGTATTTAAATACAATTTAATTCCTTTCATTAATTACTAAGTGATCGCCCTGCCCATGCTCTGTCTTGTGACCTGTCCTGTTTTTAATTGGGGTCCTCCTGGACTCCTGGCCGCTGGTCCTTGCTGCACGGTGTGGGAGTTGCGTACATTGAACGCCACCTTTTCTTGTTCATCTTGTTATCATATTTCAATTACTACAATTATGCTCAATAATATACGGAGGGAATGCTTGACCTCAATAACAATATGGGTCATTTACTGGCCAATACTGATGTATTTGTGAATTTTGAGGGCCACGGGTCCATGGGTTGTGGAGTTACTGGTCGGAGACCAGTTTGACATACATTTTCAATGTGACCTTGACCTTTGACCCCTTGAGCATGAAATCATAAGAGTCATCTACACGCGAATAGAAACGCACTTAAAGTTTGATGGACAAGGGCCCATGTGATGTTAGGTTATTTGTTGAAAACCGTTTTAACATACAGAGTAAATATGACCTTGACCTTTGACACCTTGACCCCAAAATCAACAGAGTTTATCTACTGGCTACGGCCAATGCACCTGCGGAATTTAAGAGTGAAGTGCCTATGAGTTGCTGAGTTATTGGTTGGAAACCGTTTTTATATAAAAAGACAATGTGACGTTCAAATTTGACCCAGTGACCCCAAAAACATTATGGTCATCAACTGATCATGACTAATCAACATACAAAGTTTGAAGTTCCTAGGTCCACATGTTTTCCTAAATTATTGATCAGTTGCTTGTTCTCCTGACTTACTGATCGACCGGCATGTGCAAAGTAATATACCCCCAATTCTTTGAAAAGAGGACATATTTATTTTGTAGAACGTTATTTTAAAGGGCTAATGTGATATATCGATATTGACTAAACAAGCAGATCTTCTTTTACACTTTTTCTATTTGATTAATTTGATATAGATCTATTGAGGGGATCCTAGAGAGTTAACATATTCTATTTTAGGTCTTATTAATACTAGGTATGCATGTCTTTTACTTTTGAGGAATTTGTCTTTAAGCATCTTCAAAGGAAACAGAGTGTTTGATTTGCTTTATTACAAAAAATAATCAGTATGAATGTCCTTTTTCAAATTGTTTTGACTTGTGACATCTAGATATTTGACAGATTTTACTAAGGTTATAATGATATGTCTATATTTAATTCGGTCGTGTTTTTTCACAATTTTAAAACTAAGTACACGATGCTTATTCCAACTAAAAGGTATTTCACCAACATGCATTAAAATGATCGTTAACAAAGTAGAGATATATTTTAGATATTTTGCGTGGATGTTGTTCGGGCCAGTTTTACCTGGTATGTGGATTGACATTTGATAATGGTTCTGTGATATCATCTTGACATTAGGAATCGATATTAACGGTTGTCCAACTTCCCGGGATAACTACAAGTATGGTCGGTGAATGAATTTTAAAAGGACGTGTCCGAAAGGCAAATGAAAAAATCACAATTGAGCATATTGTCAAATCCTATCTTAGAAATTTCCATCTTAACTAGACTTAATAAGAACGGGCAACACTGTTGTTTTTGATTGCGTTAAAGTTTATCTAATTTCCTCAAAGAAAAAGAAGTCTCTTCTAGAAAATATATTGTGAACATAATAGCAATTAATTTGCATTTGTGTTACAAATTCTTATCTACCATGAAACATAATATAAACTGAGAAAAAAATGCAAAAACCAGAAACTAACAGTCGTATATGAATGTATGAATGTGTCATGTATTTTCATGCCCAACCTTTAATGCTTTTTGACATGTATTGTAAAAGATTGAGACATGGTGCATACAGAAACGGAACAAAAACGCAAAGTTTTAATGATATTCATGTTCTCTTTAACTTTATTGTGAAAAAGCACTATACTAGCCAAACAAAATTTTCAATCTATCCCTGTTTCTCGTATTTTATTAACGGGACGCGCTTTAAACAGATGAAATCGGCACTTCGAACCCCGAAAACGCGTCTACTTTGTAGCATAAATATATACCGAGTAAAATTTAGAAAAAAAAATGTGACAAAAGCATGTAAAAATAATGTTTTGTTTAAATGTCAGTAAATCCTGAAAAATGTGTTAAAACTTCAACTTTACTTTTAATCATACTCTGGTTTAGTAATTTTTCATAATAAAACAAACATTTTCTTTGTCCATAATGTCATAAAGGGATATATTTCTGTGTGTAGGGCAAAACAGCAATACTATCTAGAAATGTTATGTAAGATTCATCTATGCCAGTTTAGGCCTTAGCCCCATGATTATACAAGAAAACAGGATAGTTAGTAAGCAGATACATTTGAATTAATTAATAAATCCTTTTTACGTTCGTCTTCTACTTTTTTTCCAACCAATTTTAGTGATTCGAAAACGCGCCTTCTTTGTAGCATTGATATATACCGAGAGAATATTTTTTTTAAAAATGTGACTAAAACATGTAAAAATAATGCTCTATGAAAATATCAGTAAATCCAGAAAAATGTGTTAAAACTTCGACTGTACTTTTAATCATACTCTGGTTTACTAATTTTTCATGATAAAATATAATCATTTTCTATGAAAACGTATCTTAAACACTTAATTAAGAATGACACTAATGCTTTGAGGTGATCTGTAGAGTCAAATCATAACACAGCGACCCATCCTTCAGCAACAAATAAAATTACCAGATAATACGATAAGTTTATCGTTCATCTAGATGTTGAGGGTCAGTATTCACAGACAGAAAAAAATGTTTGTGTTTAATTCAGATATGATGTTTTCTTTGTTCATAATGTCTAAAAGGGACATTTTTCTGTGTGTAGGGCAAAACACACTATCTAGAAAGATTATCTAAAGTTCATCTATGCGAGTTTAGGCCTTATCCCCATGATAATACGAGAAATCAGGATACCTATAGTAAGCAGATACATTTGAAATCTTAATTCCTTTTTACGTTTTCTCCCACTTTTTCCAACTAATTTTAGTGATGTGTGTACATATTGTATTTGTTACAATATTTCTACATTAAATTGTTTCTTGTAACCGCCCAAAAGGCCGCTTATATTGGAAACTCTTGCATCTGTAGTGGAAATATATAAACCCCTTTTCCCTTTAGAAATGCTTTAAACTAACTTCAAGTACAGTATGGTTGTTCGCTTATCTTTGCCAGTTTATGTCAGAACAAGCTGGATTTGAAATGGGAAATTGATTTTTAAAAGTACATGTACTTGATCGACAGTACAACCAAATATAAAAAATAATGTCAAGGCCTGTTTGTGTGGTCTAAATGTCATAAGTAATAGATTAGGGCTTTGGCCTTTCTTGTGATTGGTTAAGAAGTGAACGCTTTTGTAAACTGGTTATTTAGAATGCCTATGCATAGTAAGATGTTCCGATTTAGAGTCTTCTTTGGTCAGTTTTTCGATCACTTTTACGTGTCAGACATTTTATTCTCCTGGAAAAATTACATCGTTACTGTAGCATGAAAACTCGATTTTATTGTAGGTTTAGGATCCATTTTTTATAATATACATGTAACTATCTGAACTACAAGTACCTGATACCCTACTCGAGGACACAATAAAATCTTTCATTCCTAGGAACATACGTCTTTGGAATAGCCTCCCTCTAACTGTTCACTCTAGCCCCAGGCTGAGAGGCTTGACCCATTCTATAAATTCTAAATTGCACACCATTTCTTTTAAATAAATAGTCTTGTAGAACTTTTATTCTTTTAACTTTTTAAATTTGCATATAAATGATTTCTTTTAATAACAGTTCCCTGACAATGCGCCTGCTAGTCATAATCAGTATTGATTGAACACATTTCGCAGTATCGTGTAGATGTAGATGTAAGTCTATCGGGAGAATTAATACGATATTCTGATCCCATTGCAAGACCCTTTCTGATAAAATTTAGTGGTGTTTAAATTACTATTCAAGGGGAATAACTCTAAAATGTGAATCGTCACTTCCTGGTAAACAATGGCACCAATTCTTTCATCGGTAAAGCAATTAGTAAATGAAAACACTGCTAAGGACTTTATGACAGCGTCCGATATACTGATAAAGTTTGCAAATAATGTTTTACAGCACCCATCTGAACAAAAATATCGTCGAATCAGATTAGGCAACCCTACAGTGGAAACTAAACTTCTTCCAGTATGTGGTGCCATGGAATGTTTGTTTGAAATGGGATTTACAGAGGTAAGTTTATATTTGTTATTGTTTGTTATATAAGCATGAGAAAACTTTGATGAAAGAGAGTTGAGAGTAAACTCTTCTTTCCTAAATTTAACCTGTCTATCGGGGCAGAAGTGGAGGGAGGGTGCCGAGTGTCATAAGTAGGATTTGGTGGCCTTGGGCTTGGTATGTGCACATGGTAGTCCAATATATCTTGTTAAAGTTAATATCGACAAGCAAAAATATCTCAAAGCGACGTCATATTTATAGGACTAGTGCACATGGCGCAGATAGGAAACAGGACACATGTGGAGAGATTTGCAGCTTAGCAATTGGTAAAGACCATAAACCTACCTTATTTATGTAAAATATGATAAACAAGATCGACAAGGAAAGGCGGCATCCAATGAACGCAGCCCCCACCCTACCCAGCAACAAACGCCAGCGGCAAGGAGCCCAGGAGGACCCCAAAAAATAAAAAAAGGACAGGGCACAAGGCAGAGTACGGGCAGGCAAACCACTACATCAGAATACATATTTATTAACTTATAAGGAACTAAAACAAAACAAATAAATGATTTAATATAAGGCCCATAATGCCAAAGGGCACAGGGGAAGGGGACATGAGACACGGGGAAGGGGGGGGAAATAAAATAAATACAAACTAGGGACAAGGGAAGACACTTACCGTAGACGAGAAACAACAAGAGACACAAGCAAACGTGTCACCAAAACAGTATAAAACAACATAGACATACATCTGAGGAACACAGAGGGGCGCCGCCTTGGAACGGTCAGCAGCATAATAATGACTACTGGGGAGTTTAAACCGGTTAATGGTGCACCAAACCTCGCTCTTAGCCCCACCATGTTCCTATAAACGAGACAGTGTAAACAAAAATGAATCCCCGCCAAGTGAAATTCTAACAGTTGTTATGGTTACAAAGGTCAAATAAGTAAAACACCAAAAATGATCATGTAGAAAACATATAAAAGTAAACCCAATGACCATAACAAAAGTACTCGATGTCTTAAAGGAAGACAGAGCAACAAGAAAATCATCTACAATGGCCCGACGAAAGCAAGACAGAAGACAAACATTAAGGCAATTCAGTCCCAAAGGGCTTTAAGAACTGTCCATCATATAGTCTCCCACTTGGCCCCGTCAGATGTAATCAAAAGAGGAAAGCGTAGTGTCCAACTGTAAATGGGCTTGAACACTAAGCATTGCGGTATGTCTTAAGATAGTAGGGTCATAAGCCCTTTTTAATAAACGTTTTATAATTTTAGTAAAACACAACAGAAAAATTTACAATGACCCAAGATCTTACGAAGTTTGTAAACAACATCACCGTAAAAATCAGGCTGGCTAATCCCTTGTGGCAGAAGTGTTTTTAGATCACTATTGAATTTTGAAATTAAATCAAAGTTACGATTGTAAAATTTTGGTTAAAATATTTACGTAATTTATAATAGCGGTAGCCCTGTTTAAGAAGCTTACCGGTAATGAAAATATTTCGCTCGTTAAAATCCTTTACGTTGCTACAAGCTCTAGCAAATCTAATTAACTGAGATATATAAACCCGTAAGATGTTGCGTGCGGTACGTCTCCATCCAAATGAGGATAATTTACTATATACTAAAATCAAAGTCATCTCTTTTTATCATAAATTTTTTCGTGTGAATCGAATTGTTTTTGATAGTGATATGAAGATCCAAAAATGATGTAGTTAAATTTCAAGTATTCGTTTTATTAAGTTGTAGCTCCGTAGGATAAATATTAGACACCATTTGATCAAAAAAAGAATTATCTAAATTAAAAATGTCATCAAGATATCTGGAAGTGTTATTAAATGCTGATATAACATCTTGTTGTGTATTTTTCAGAGAGACTTAACATAAAATCTCTTTCATAGCAATACAAAAACAAATCGGCGACCAGGGGTGCACAATTAGTACCCATAGAAATTCCTATGATTTGTTTGAATAGGGTATTACCAAACCTGACATAAATATTGTCTAAAAGAAAAGAGAGTGCTCTACAAACTTCGTCACAGGTCCACATAGTATATTGTTTAACAATACAGTTTGTAAAGAAGGCTTTTTGAGAGTTACATGCAAGAAATGTAACTTTTTCCCGTGCAAAGGTTTTCTGAATAAGGGAAATTAGTTTATCATTAATTAAATTATGTGGCAGTGTAGTATAAAGGGTAATCCACCTCATACCTTAGTCCAAATAATTAAACTTTGTGATGAGAAATTGTGCTATTTGTGTATGGAAAGGAGATTCTGACCAAAAACAAACGTTATCTCAGAATCTAGCTTTGGCACATGAATATATTTTGACTACCTCATACTTCTACTTTGTCTATTCCAGCTGAACTTATTAGCCTTATTCATGAAATATCTCTTCTGCTACTTTTTTCTGTTTACAATTGGTATAATTGCAGTGAATAAGTATTTTGCTACCTTTAACACATTTTACTGCATGATCTTCAGTTGTTAAACATCTAACATATTCTTAATCCATTACTTAAACATTACTTAACACATCTATAAAATTTCTAAAGAATTGAAAAATATATTTTGTTTAGACATAATGTGCCTTTAACTCTAGAAATATTTCATTCATTCATTCATTCATTCATTTTCTCATTCACTCATTCGCTCGCTCACTCATATATATATGAACTATCTTAATTGAAAAAATTTAATAATCTCATACGTAACATTTATTCTTATGGTAATAACATATCATTTATCATTATTTTATCTTACAGGATGGGGAGTTTCTAACTTTACCAATGTCAGCTCCTTTAAGTCTATTATCTCAGTTAAAGACACAGTTGGAGAATGAACGAGGAATTGTTCAGAAATCATCAACCCCAGTGGCTCCAAGTAGTTCAGCACCAGAAACCACTAATCCTTCAAGTGCAGGACAGGCATCTGGTGGACAGAGTAGACAACAAGTTGCTTCACTTGCTAACAGTCAAATGAATTTATCTGAAATTGTTGTAAGTTGCCTATATTCAATATTGAATGCATTTTCAAAACATATATAAAAATCTAAAACATTTATTTTAAACAGAAAAGACACAAATTTTTTGTCAATTAAGCATACATTTGTTATGCCTACAATAATATCAAAGAATATTAATTTATTACCATATACATGTATCTAGTAATCAGCTATATTTTGTTTTCTCCAACCAACTGTACCAAATACATTTGTACTTGCAAATGCAGAAAATGACCCAAAATTGTGTCATTTGTTAAGAGGGAAGATGTCAAACCTACTTTAACAATAATATTGGTAATTTGGGGTTTATTATTTAAATCAAAATTTTGCATGTTTTCCAGTAAAAAAGTAAAGAAAAAAATAATAAAATTAAATTTTTTAAATTTACAAAATTAAAACATTTAAAATTAATGTCTATAATTGAAAAGTATTGAACTTTTTAATGTCAAATTTTTTTAAATTGATTTAAATTTTCTTTTTTGGAAAAATTAGTGTAAAAAAGCTGTGGCATAGAAAGGGGGAAAAACTGATGTAACTTTACATTACAAATATTTTCAGCATTTACTTCCCTTTGATAGTTAAAAATAAAATTGAAAGTGGCAGATCATTAATTAGTGAATGATAGAATGTACTTTCATGATGTAATGAATTACATTCAATTACCATACAAATTGTACAAAGTTGTTATAAATTGTAATTACAATCACAAATTTTCAATAACCCCAAATCTGACTTGTTTATTGTATTATCTTTGTTATTGGCAAACGCCCTATTGTTAAAAATATATACTTACAACAAAAAAGCAACATATATTCAATTTTATCAGTTATGCTTAAAAAAAGTTTATTTTTGCTCATATTTAAATACCAAAATGTACACTTTAATGGAGGAATATGGTCTAATGAGAATGATGTTACCTTGAACTATATTTAAGTCTCTCTAACCTGAATATCATGTACATATATGTATGCTTCAATCTGCATTGTATTCTGGAGAATGTTCAGTCTGGACAAAGCCCTTCATCATATTTAATGAAAGTTTCAAAATATGTACTGACTGAAAAGGGAACAGTGTGGGTCATAATCAGATGGCATGGTCTTGCCAGCTGATCTTGATTGACACTTGTTGCATGTTTAAAGTAGACTCAATGGCTGCATGCAGACTAAGTATTACAATGTACGGAAAACAATTTAGAGTCTAGTCAATGGATAAGCATGTTTTTATGGGCATTACCAGTCAAACTATTAAGTAATAGAAAGAGCACCGAAACACGAGGCTATCTGATTTGTACGAGGGGGCGTAGCCCCCGAGTATTAATCAGATTGCCGAGTGTTTTGGTGTTCTTTCTCTTTTGTATCATAGTCAAACATAAAAGCACGTTCCCTGTTGTCACAATATGAAAAACCCCGGCAAAATGAAACCAATGAACGAACATTCTGAAATATGACAATTTCTGTCACTTTCCCCTTTCTCTGCCGTTCACAATATGTAAACACCAGCAAAAATGAGCCAATCAATGGGCATGCTCTGGAGTGCGGGTAACTAATACCCGCACTCCAGTTAACGCACTGTGCATGTATATGTATACAATTTAACCCTGACACATTTTCAACAGAAAGGTCTCCAAACTATGATACAATATGATATAAATAACAGTTATTTCTGTGAGCATAGTAATTAGTTAAACAATTTATTGAAGATAGTATTTATTTAAAAAAAAAAATGCAAACAGATTACAAAATTTATAGTTTACTAAAATACTTCAGTTTATAAGCATATCTTATTTCTCTTGATGATATTAAGACTGCATGGTGCAAAATTAAACATTAATGAAAATTTCAGAGAAAAGAACAGGATTTCCATAGAAGACTTGAATCACAGGTTCAACATGTGCTTGTTTATGAAGATCGAAGAAAGCAACAAAAAGCAAGGGAGGTCATTCCAATAGCTCAACTCCAGAAAGAGGCTGAGGCAAAGTTGGAACAGCTCAATAAATACGCAAGTACAGGTGATGGTCAAACAGATTCTTCTCCTAAGTTAGATTTACAGGACTGCTTGGTGTTAGCTTTACTTAATTGGTTTAAAAATTCCTTTTTCAAATGGGTTGATGCTCCTGCCTGTGGGGGTTGTGGAGGGAAACCAAATGCTGTTGGAAGCATACAGCCTACTGCAGAAGAGTTACGCTTTGGCGGTAATAGAGTTGAAAATTACAAATGCCCTACTTGTCAGACATTTACAAAATTTGTACGCTACAACGATCCAGAGAAGTTATTAGAAACAAGGGAGGGAAGATGTGGAGAGTGGGCAAATTGTTTCACTCTTTGTTGTCGAGCAATGAATTTTGAGGCACGCTATGTCTTAGACTGGACCGATCACGTATGGACCGAGGTATATTCAAACTCACAGCAGCGTTGGGTTCACTGTGATCCTTGTGAAAACACCTGTGATAAACCATTGTTATATGAAGTTGGCTGGGGGAAAAAGTTGACTTACATTATTGCATTTTCTGTGGACGATGTTGAGGATGTTACTTGGAGATATACGTCAAATTTCGAGGAAATTCTGAAAAGGAGGAATGAATGTCGTGAAAATTGGTTAGTCAGAACTTTGTACAATATGGATAAACAAAAGTGGTCATCGATGCCTGAAGCAAAGCGTAATGTAAGGTTAAAAAGAAAAATTGTGGAGCTGGTTGAATTCATGACGCCAAAAAAAGCTGATGGGAAAAATTTGTCAGGTAAATTATTCAACTTGAAATAATAATTGAAACTTTATACAAAAATTGAAATTTTCAATGGTAAGAAAGCTCTAGTTCTGTATACAATATAATTTATGGACTACAGGAATCTGGGTCAGCTCGGCCCTAAAACATACTCGGCCCCCGAGTTAGCTCGGCCCTATTCCAACTCGGCACGTGGCAACTCGGTATAACTTAAAAATTTCCTATTGTCACGGGCTATATATTGATGTTAAAAGTATACATAATTATGATTGACTATTCATTTACAAAATTTGATTTAGTCGACAGCACATATTTTTTTGAAAATATACTTTACAAAACAAAATGCACAAGTATCGGAACCTGGGAAGAAAAAATATGAAGTTATTTTATCAATCTGTTCATATTTTTTTCTTCCCAGGTTCGATAATCGTGCCTATATCTATATTAATTTTATCGAATCTGCAAGAACAAATAAATAACTTTTTTTTTTCTAAATATACTTTATTTCAGCAGAGGTACAATGTATAATTATATAATAATAATAAGATATTTCTTATTATTCATTTACCTTAACAACATGCAAAGCAAAGTAAATACGTTATAGGCCTATATATTTTTGTAAAGTGGGCCGAGTTGACCCGTGCCGAGTTGGTATAGGGCCGAGTTGACTCTTTTCCGCGGTTCCGGACTACAGTAGTGATCTTATGAACCCTGCATTGATTGTAAATAATTTGATTGTAAAATTCATGACCAAAAAAAAAAGATTACATAAAAAAACTTTATGATAACTTCTTAACAATAAAATAATATGAAGTATTCTCATATTATAGTTGATACACTTTTAGTAAACTTACAGTATTATGATTTAAAGCATTTTGACTATACGAACCCGCAATATATTCTGTTGTTGCAAGTTATTTTTCTCAGCACTGTGGCTTTCATAGAACATTTTATCACATACTCGTGCAGATTTTGCCACTCCGTAAAAACAGTATTGCACGACCATGCATATATTGTGGCGTGATGTCATTTGCATTATGCAAACATAAAACTAAATGTTAGCGTTACACTATAGGCATGTCATTGAAAATGATTCTTTTTCAATTTAGACACTCATTATTTTGGATATGTGATAAATAGAATATTATATTCGTGTACTTTCAATACTGAATTTATTGAACTTGTTGAATAAGATAATATTATGCTCGCCAGAGACTCGCATAATATAACTTTATTCAACTCGTTCAGTAAAATCAGTATTGAATTTACACTCATTTATTATCCTCTATGTATTTACCATGAATTTTATTGTTTCCTCCTTTGATGAACATATATGATATTTATCATTTAGGTCGTACTACTGGATCGTTGGCATGGAGATTAGCACGAGGAGAGTTAGGTGACCAACCAGTAAACAAAGCTGAACCATATGTATTTAAGGTTAGATTTTATATTAGTATCTTTGTACCTAAGGGGCCTTTGTGGTCCAGTGGATAATACAAGCCTTGAGATTGGTTAGAATTTTAGATAAATACTGTACAGTTAGAGTTTTGCACACTTTCTGGTTAGCTTAATAGGAAGAGCTTTGGACTGTGAATTGGGCGATCTGGGTTCGATTCCAAGACGGTGCGGGTCACTTTCATTGTGATTGATCATGAAATCTTTTCTACGGTCATTCGCACTGTACCTCTGCTATGTACAGAAGTTTCAGTTCCTTACGAAAGTGAAGGCAACTAGTACTGGTAAACTGTTTGACATCCTGCCCAGGAACAATGTCTGCTATGCCAGGCAGGATATAATTTACATTCAAATACAGGAAAATTAATTTTGAGCAAAAGAGATGCATGTACAAAAATAACCATGTCAAAGTTATTATAAAACTAAAAAATAAAAAAAATGAAACTCCCAAAGTATATTGTGGTATTGTAAAATATTTTTATCTAAATTTTTTTATAGTGTAAAATTTCCCGGGCATTTGATTCAAGCATTTTAAAATTGGTGAATTTTTATATGTTGTTTAAAAACATTTGCAGTTACCCCTTTAAATTAAAAAAACTGTTTTATATTGATATTAAAGTTGACAGAGAAGGAGAAACCCTGGTAAATATCTCCTTTCTGACCATTTCCTGTCAAAAGGATGAATCCCGTCGAAAGTCATGTATAATGGGGAAATTTCGCCCTGGTTTTCAACTTTGGGTTTAAACAAGTCAGAAAATATATTCAGGAAAGTAAAAACAGGTTGGAAAGGGCATACCTGGCACGAAAGGGAAAGGGCCGGGAATAAGGGGTTTGAAATTGTCGGGAAAGTTTGATTTTAAAAGGGAAAAGACTTGTTATAAATATTTTTTCTTTCATAAACTTTTTAAAAAATTTTAAATTTTAAATCTTGGGGCGGTTTTGGGGCCCAAGGGGTTTAAGGTCATTAAATTTCCCCTTCACCCAATGTGCATTCAAATTTTTTCATTGAGGAAAATTTCCAGCTAGTTTTAACAGAATTTTCAGGGGGTTCTATTCAGATCCCCAAAAACCCAATGCACAAAAGGGGAACCTAAAGTTTTTTCCTCCCAGTAAAGAGGGAAAAATCGCTAATTAAACAAATACTGTGTCGGTGTGTGTAAAACAAAATGAAAAGGAAAAAAAATTATTTCCCTTTTAAGCTTGTCTAAGGGGGCCATTAAAACTTGTGGGGGCAACTTTTTTTGCTTTTTTGTCCAAAACGAGGGAAAAAATTTTGAAATTTTGCAAAAATATAATTGCTAGAAATAACTGATAATTCATAAATAACTTAAGATAACAAATGACTACAATATTTCTTAGTTAAAACATAATGTTTCATTTATTTGATTGATTTTGGAGTAAAATACTTTTCATATACAGTATAACTGGTTATTTCTGTGGGTGCATATTTTTGCGTTTTGAGACTGAAAATGAGTATATTAATATATGTGAATTTAATTTCTGCGTTTTTCTTCAAAAACTGTTATGAAATTCAATTTCTGCGTTTTTCTATTAAATTTACAGCCTACAAACACCATTTTGCTAAACTTATTACGTGATTAACTACATGTAAACTCCTTTGTGATAATTGACTACACCAAAAGCGCGCTATAAACATCTCATATTTCTTTATCAATACAATACAATACAATAAAGTTTATTTTGCAACGTTTCTAGCTTAATAATAGACGATTTTCAGTAGAGCGAGAGGCTACCAACAGGTATTGTGTATTGATTAATTTAAGAGGTAAATTGAGGTGACAAACTGGGTAAATTGCCTAATTATAAAACTAGGAAATATTTGAGATGCAGTCTGAAGGGACCCGCAAAATATTGCAGAAATTAGCTATCCGCAGATATTACCAGTTATACGGTATTAGATTAATTACATGTTTTCTTTTAAGAAATTTGCCCGATTTTGAAAGGATTTTAGATAAAGAGCAAATATAGAAAAGTATTAAAGAAGAATGATGTCAGGTCTATTGTTGTAGTTGATGATGATTTTCACTGTTGTTATTGTTGTTGTAGAGAGTACTTTGAAGATTGACAGTATAGATATAAAGGTGGACTGTTCTACATATGAGAATGGTAGAATAAACTGGATGATTTGCTCAGATGAGACATGTGCAATGCTGAAAGGTATGACCTTGAATCTGAAAATATTGGAGGAACATAGAGAATACATAGTAGATGTTCAGAATGGAGAAGGTTTATGTATCTTAATGAGCTGAAGTGAGCCAAATTCAGTTTTACAGTGAACCGGATAAATCTTCTTCATTTTGACAACAACCATGTATTTGATTTAGCATGCTTTTGTCTAATTAAACCATGTTTACAGATTATTTAAATGGTTTAATTTTTACTATTTCCCTGATCATACAGGGTCTATATGTATTTTGTTCTGCTGCTAACCATGTCAGTTCATCATAGGCTAACCATGTGACATAATGACTGGAGATAGATAAGTTTATTCGGCAAGGCTTTAGCCAGCTGATAATATAGACAGTAGCGGAATAAAATTAATTGTGTTTGCCACCAGTATAGAGCCAGACCAGTCTGCAAATCTTATGTATGTGAAAAGTCTGACAAGATGCCTATATTGCTGGCTGCTTATTGTTAGTATGTTCATCTTGATTTTCCATTAAAGTATTGGCAATGGAATCAGTTGATATGTAGACAAATAAAAAAAAATTATATCTCATTAAAATTTATGCCACAAAAAAAACCATATATCATGACTTTGATAGTTTTATTAACTTATATTTCAAGTTGGAAAACCCATTAGAATTCCATTGTCTCATGTTGCAGTTTTCATGCATTTTGGATTAATAGGTAATGTCACATATATGTGTGACTGTGTACACATAAATCAATATCATTATAAAAAGTTAGAGGTAAAAGCTGTTTTAGAAACACTGTACTAGCCACTTCTGTTTACTGCCAAAATTAGTTCTGCATGTTAACTCTGTGCTTTCATACATACTGTTTATTTTTTGTATGACCTCTGTGTTGCATTTGGCCAGGATGCTGACTTAGCTATCTATCCTGATCCAAGACAGCATTAAGTGCACATCTGATATCTATGCCGATCCAAGACAGCATAAAGTGCACATCTGATTTTAAACTATAAAACATTTTTATACAAGACACTTATCCAGATAGCTAAGAGAAAGTTGGTTGCTCTTCATAAATCTAAAGTTTTTACAAAAATGATGCACAGAAGTGCACTCCGACTCCTTCCATAAGAAAAGCTGGACCCGCTGTATGTTGTATTACTTGAACTCAAGTGTTTTGATGTTTTTATAGTTTAAAGCAACACGCCTCCAGATTCATGCTAATTTTCATGAAAATTTTGAAAATGTATTTGAATGTTTGTAATATTATGAATTAACCAAAAGGAAGCAATTTACACATTATCAATGACACTTACAAACCACGTTTATTACCAAAAAGTGGCCAAAATATGCATAAATAGCCTTTACTGCGTTAGTAACGCAGTAGAAATATAGTTGTAAATACTGAAAAGTCAGTCATAAATCGCACATAATATGTGAAATATTACTTGAATCTTTAAACTTTTTACTTTTCCTTACATCTTAGTACATTTTTCTCAAGTTTGATTTTATTGAAATATTTTGAATAAAAGTCTTGTATCTTCTGTGGAACGGGATGGGTTTTAAATAGGACTGCAGAAGAAAACCTTTAAATTTTGAAATTCTGAGAATGCTTGTCATTATCATCTTATTTACTTCTGTGTTGTTTTTATTTCAGGTGGACCTTCGTTACAGACTGTGACAGACCTTAGTGGTCAGACTGGTTTTACTTTAACTGCCAGTCTGTCAGGGGGAACGGGTGATGCTGCCTGGCAACACACTCAACTGTTTAGACAATCTAGTGAGGACACTGTGATATGTCCTTTTGAAATTCTGATCAGATTTCAGTAATCAGCATTATTTAATAAACAAAGTGTTTGTTGTGTGTAGGATTATAAAAATATATTTAGATTATACATATGTGTTCTAAGAGCATGAAGGTTGATTATTCACTTTATTTAATGATTATTCACTTTATTTAATGATTATTCACTTTATTTAATGATTATTCTCTTTATTTAATTCTTTTTTCTTCGTATATTTATTTTCTTATTCTTGGTAAATTTTTGTTTTACAAATTTGAATGGTTGTACTAAATACAAAATTATTTCCTACACTTTATCTACATATTGTTGCAACTTATTTTTTTATGTTTTTTTTACTGTGTGGTTTAAAAATATGGCATTTAAGTTTAAGATGTTTGTTATTGAGCCTGTGAAGTGAATCTCTGAACAATCAAATATATGTATAGAAGTATAGTAGGTGAACCAATCATACATTTGTGTAATTCTCTCATCCCTGCTGATTTTCATTTAAACCCTTAAACTTCTGGAACATAAAATGATTAACCCCTGCCACCAGGGCAGAGTAGCCTGGTCTCCCTGCACATATGCACAGTCTATCTACTGAATCCAAAAATAGGCTTAACCTGGACAAAATTTGCACAGAATTGAAACTTATATTTTATGAAAGATTGTACCCTGTAGATTCTAAAAATACAAAGTTCAGTCCCGGGAAACTGCAAAATCCAAAATATGATTTTTTAACAAAAACTAGGCTTTCATTTCTTTTCATTGGAATCAAATATTGATTAAAAGTTGTTGTAATGGTTCAATTGTGAGCCCAAACTTAAAATTGGAAATACATGTGCTATACACACTTCTGTTATTACTATTTGTATTTTTTTATCATTTCACTCCAAAAAGTGACTTTTTGTTGGGTTTAGCGTAAGCTTTATTGACTAAATGTTTCTATTCAATTTTTAGCTCACCTGTCACAAAGTGACAGGGTGAGCTTTTGTGATCGCTTTTCGTCCGGCGTCCATCCGTCTATAAACTTTTACTTTAAATGACATCTCCTCATAAACCACTAAGCCAATTTCATCCAAACTTCACAGGAATGTTCCTTTGGTGGTAACCTTTAAAAATTGTTCAAAGAATTTAATTCCATGCAGAACTCTGGTTGCCATGGCAACCGAAAGGAAAAACTTTAAATATCTTCTTTTAAAAAACCCAAAGAGCTAGAGCTTAGATATTTGGCATGAAACATCTTCTAGTGAGTGTCTACAAAGTTTGTTCAAATAAAAGCCCTGGGGTCAAAATTGGCCCCGCCCCAGGGGGTCTTTGATTTTCCTAATATGCATATAATAAAAACTTAAGAAAATCTTCTTTTAAAGAACACAAAGAGCTAGAGCTAAGATATTTAGCATGAAAAATGTTCTAATGGGTGTCTACCAAGTTTGTTCAAATAAAATCCCTGGGGTCAAAATTGGCCCCGCCCCGTGGGTCATTGATTTTCCTTATATATGTGTATAGCAAAAACTTAAAAAATCTTTTTTGAAAAAACCTAAATAGCTAGAGTTTAGATATTAAGCATGAAACATCTTCTAGTGAGTGTCTACAAAGTTTGTTCAGATAAAAGCCTGAGGGACAAAATTGGCCCTGCCCTGGGGGTCATTGATTTTCCTTATATGTGTATAGCAAAAACTTAAAAATCTTCTTTGAAAAAACCCAAATAGCTAGAGTTTAGATATTAAGCATGAAACATGTTCTAGTAAGTGTCTACAAAGTTTGTTCAAATAAAAGCCCTGGGGTCAAAAATGGCCCCGCCCCGGGGTGTCATTGTTTTTTAACTATATGTGTAAAGTAAAAACTTAAAAATCTTCTTTTCAAAAAACCCAATGAGCTGCAGCTTAGATGTTTAGCATGAAACATCTTCTTATGGGTGTCTACCAAGTTTGTTCAAATAAAAGCCCTTGGGGTTAAAAATGGCCCTGCCGGGGGTGGGGGGGGGGGGGCAGATCATTCTTTTTTCATTATATGTGTGTAGTAAAAACTTAACATCATGAAACATCTTCTTATGGGTGTCTTCCAAGTTTGTTCAAATAAAAGCCCTGGGGTTTAAACTGGCCCCGCTGCGGGGGCCTATATACAGGTGAGCGACCTCAGGGCCATCATGGCCCTCTTGTTGTATTTTTATTCTGAAATCCCTTAATCATCAAATAGAGTGTTCCAAAGTCAAAGCAGGGCAAATCCATTACACAAATTGAGCAGTTTAAGGTTTAACACCTTATCCATATTATATAGTAGATTTGAGATGGGTTTTTTTACATGAAAAATGTATTCAGCTCAACTTCTGTTATAAAATATAATGCTAACAAGAGTGATGAAAAATGTGCCTGCCCCTGCATGGGGTCATGGGTTTGAGTCTTATTTGAACAATGTTCATGTTTCCCAGTATAACACTGAAAGCCAAATATCTGGTTTGTTCTGAAAATCAGATTTGAATCTAATTCACAAATGAGGAAGTTACAAGATACTGTTTCATAATCGTTATAAATGTTTCAACTAGAAACTAGTACTTTCCTCTGACACTTGGCATTGAATAATAAATCAATTTGTTTTACTTGATTGACATATTATATATATATATATACATGTATATATTTGTGCAACTTATTAACCTTCAGTCTGCAGATGGCTATAGTAATCTTACAATGTGAATTTCAGTCGGTACATAATAATTTTGAAATTTTCCCTTACAATGATGAATTGTTTTATCCACACTGCAAGATGGACAGGTCCATTTAAGATATTAAGTGTGGCAATGGTTGAAGATAACTTACCATCTTTGCATGTTTTACACGTAGATTCTTATGATTTATTCACATTACGATCAGATAATGTATAGAAAGCTTTTCAACATTGTAATGGAATAAAAAAAAATGAAAGGAAATTCTTCTGTAAAACCTGCAGCTATGGTTATTGATTTATTACTTTACAGTTGTTTTTACCATTATAAACTATAAACATTATGCCTTTCCTTACATTATTAATTGTTTGTATAAAATGGCATGTAAAACAGAGATTTTGCCAATTTCATGGCTTTAAACTTCATGGGAGAAAAACATGTTTTCATTGCCTTTAAAATGTGTAACATTAATCTAGTCACATAAATGTTGTAAAGCTAACCTATTGCAAGTTTTTATAGAATTTAAAAGTCTTAAAGGTACTCCACTGAGGTATATGAATTTGAATTTCTTCCATAGATCAGCTGGGGTTCTTAAAACAGCAAGATATTCAATAGATAATAAAGAAGTATAAATCAGAAATAGATCGAAAATCATATCTTTGTGCTATTCTTTGCCCATTTTTTGTCTTTTTTTTTTACAAAATTGAATAATTCATTCCAGAAAAACAGAATATGCAAATGATCTGAAATTTATCACACAAATGTCATGTTATTGGTCTGGACCTACATCAAGTTGAACAATAATGTCTAAAAAAAAAATCCAGTCCCGTCATGTAAAAAAAAACCTCGGTGGATTCCCTTTAAACTAAGAACAAATTGACAGAGAAATTGTAAATTGAATACAATTGTATAGATTATATCATTTTATATGTAATGAAATCCATGAATTAACATTAGGTTTACAAAATTGGCCAATTGTTTGTGTTGCATTGGCAAAAAACAAGAGAGAAAAGAACCATGTAGATATTGTTTATTTTAAATAAATGATTACAAAAAATTTTATCTTTTGTTTTCTGTTTATTTAAGAAATTTATCACCATATGGAGCCATACAAATCAGTTTTTTCAATGAACTGTTTTTAGGATTGATGATGACTGCAGTTCTGTAGCTGTTGTTGCTGATGATGATTATGGTGATGATGATGATGATGATGTAGTAATGTTTACAATAAACATGATGTGATGATAATGTTGATGAAACCTTGGCAACGAATAAAGCATAAATATATAAATAAATAAACTGATTCTTTGTAAATAAATTAGAATGAAATACATATTATGCTACTAAAGAATGAATGTTTATGCATTGGATATAAAATACAAAGTAGCTCAAACATCATTTACTCGAACAATAAATAACCTACATTTGTAACAAACATGAAAAAACCGCGTGCACGTCAGGGGAGCTAACTTTTGTCACGATTAATACACATTGGTCTCTTGACCATGTAAGCCAGTTTTCCGTTCAGGAGGTCATTTGTATTTATCCTGTGCTTTCTTGCGTAATTTCTCAAATATTAGTCTCGTAATTTATATATTTATAATTCCACAAACCTATGCTAAACGCCACCCCACCTCTAATTTAATTTCTGGTGGTCATTGAACATTGATCTGTTCTCAAAATACAAAATTTCTCCATTTATTATGCAGATTTACAAATCTCAAGACAAGAGTCCGTAATTTGTTTTCACATACAAGATCTACTTGAACGTAGACTTTCTGTGATATAATTGCCCATTCTTTTGCTAAGTTTAAAAGCGTCTCTGATTTTTTTTCGACATGGTTTTCATGGTAATTGTTCATTCAGCAAACGCGCATGTGTTAAAACATAACTTTTTACTTAATCAAATATTTGTTTCTGACATTTGTCCATTTTCTGTTTACAACCCTGAAATCATTTTGAAACTGGCTTGATTTGAGTATTCCTCAAACCAAGACATCCCAATTGTATCAACTTATCAGAAATAGATATTTTAAATTTGATTATCACATATTAATTTGAAGATGTAATATTAGACCACAAAGATATAAATTGTACTTGTATTTATTACACGCCTTTCTTTTGTGTTCCGATTATGTTTATATCCATTGATCCGTAGAATTTTCTTGGACCAAGTCTGCTGTGGACAGTTTTTGGTCGGTTTATATACTGTAATAACGGAGGTGGTGGGCGCGAGTGACTGTACTCTTGTGATAAAGGGTGTGTCCTAAAGCTTTGAACTTTAAAACCATTTGTTAGCCAGTTGCTATATTTCTGAGTGTACTTTGGGTAATGCTGGGTTAAAGTCTGTGTGTAACCGTTGGTGACTGATAACGGTGAGCCATTTGACATAAGTGAACCCTGAGGAGCTGTCCTAGGCTTTGTCCGGTTTGTTAGTCTGTAGTTGATTCTAAAAGAGAAATTATGAGAAATATAGAAACATATATTGATTACAAAGTAGTCTAGTGAAGCGTATTGATACCTGGGAAAGAAATTTTACATATTTTTTACCTAACGTAGCCTGCTTAAAATCTAGCATAGATTTACAAAGAGACTTAATATAGGTACAAATTTATCAAAATGTATAGGCTTTAAAAGGAATTGTCAGACTTGTTAAATAACATATTTAGATCCGATTTGAAAAAGTTCTTAATTAAGAATAACAACTTCATAATTTTACGTGATGTCGATCCAGTTGCATTTGATGTGAGTATTGCTTTCTCATATCTGTAAAATATTATCTTCATAATACCTTTCTTTTAAATCTTTTTCATCAACTTTTGAATTATTTGTTATAACGAGCTCGAGCTTATTCTTGTAATCATCATGCCAATATTCTCTGCTTCTATCACTTAGGGGCGTAGATTTTGAACGACGCAGGCGCGATTGTAACTTCCGGCGTTGATGCGCAGATACAAGCACGCGTTGTCTATGGAGATCTTCGTGGTACTCATTGTTGTGAGTGTTGAAACAGTATGAAGTTGTTGGTGACGATTTGATTGCTTCTTCTGGGGTAAACTGACTGATCAATGGGGTTGGCGAGTGGAACTTTTCGCTGTAATAATCTGCACTTGACCTTGAGCCACGTGGTGTGCACGTGCTCACCACACTCAATATTGCTTCTTCTGAGAATAAAAATTATACGAATAAAGGTGCATTAAGATAGTCTTTATAGCTTAAGTTAGTCTAAATATTTCAATAAAAGTGACATGCAATTTCGGAAGGAGAAATGAAATTGTTGTCAGAAAGAATGTCAGTTATACTTATTTTGGATACTTACACAAGCACTAAGCCATATTCTTCCTATTCTTCCTTTACAACTGTAAATTAAATAAAATGTTGAAAGCTTAAATACTTAAAAGTTAAAAACATGTGATTAAGTGCATAATATTATAGCAGATGTTTTTTAAACAATTGCATATTAGTTCGCGTTACTATGTAATACAAAATACAACCTTGATTACTGGTACCATTCCTTGCTGCTTGCTCACTGAGGTCCTGCACAGCAGGCCGGTACAATTCCCGCACTGACTTGGGTCGACCAGGTGTCAATGTCCTCGGAGATCCGCCCCAGCGGTCCCTTGTACTTTCAACATGCATTTAACACTGCAAGAAAGAAAAAAATTCATATATATTAAAGGCTCATTTCGATTATATACCATTCATCCTAGAATATTTGATGTTTGTTAGTTTTGGGATGATTTTCAATGCTATCTATAAATATACTGGTGTCTTAAAGATACAGTAATGTACACATGCTGTGTAGTTCTATACATTACATGAATTATATACTTATAATGCTAAATTTACAGCATGTATCGCATGCACAAATTGGCGCGATAAAGAGAAGATATGACGATGTTGACGTCATGGCATTACGTTACGGTAAAATATACAATTTGAGCCACGTCACGACAAAACCAACATAATGGGTTTGCGACCAGCATGGATCCAGACCAGCCTGCGCATCCGCGCAGTCTGATCAGGATCCATGCTGTTCGCTATCAGTTTCTCTACTTGTTATAGAGTTTGTAAGCGAACAGCATGGATCCTGATCAGACTGCGCGGATGCGCAGGCTGGTCTGGATCCATGCTGGTCGCAAACCCATTATGTTGGTTTTGTCATGGCGCGGCTCATTTACATTTTAGGTGGTATTTAAAAAAATGTTGTACAAGAGTATCTTGATCGAGGTCTTGTATTTGGCTCTAGAACACATCATACTCTGCTTCGTAATAGTCATATACCAGTCGGAACATCTCGGCTGTTATTAACAATAACGTCTTAATCCGAAGCTTTGTCGTATACCAGATCAAGAAACTTTTTCATTATCCCTTTTTATTTATCCAAAAGAAGAAGAAGGAAAAAAATAGCAAAATTGTTACATATTCAACATATTCTATCACTTATTTTCATATTCACTACAAAAATTTTACCTTTTAAGCATATGACATGTTCTCTATATAATCTTAATTGTGCGTGAAATAAGTGGTCAAGACAATCCAGTTTGGCTTTAAAACTTTTTAATGCAATTATAGTGGCATACGCCAGCTGTTTAAAATAACCTTATTAGGACTTAATCCGTTTTACCCACAGTATATAGAACATATCCATACATTTGTAAAACTTAGTAAATATTTGTTTTATGCAAACCTTTGAAGCGTTATTTGTTGGGTCGGTTACGCAAATATTTCTTTTTTACAATATTTAAACAGTTGCTTTATTGGTGATAATGTGAATTGCAACTATGCTGCCACCACGCTGGTCCGATTTGAGACTTCTGACCTCGTTGAATGTAAAGTGAGGTTATAAATCCCAGGTATTTGATTTGTGCATAACTGGCATAGAATGTACACTGACCAATGAATATTCTGAGGCTCGAGGTAGAACTCAGAATAAAGTGTTTTTTTTTATTTAATAGACTCGACTTCGCTCAAAGCATGCAAAGTGATCAAATTGAACCTTTTTTTAAAGACTTTCAGCGACACGGCTCCAGCTTAATGCCAGTTTTCAAAACTTGTAAGTGTGGTTCTTATAATTATGTACAAATAAACTTAATAAAAATATCTCCGGGAATTATTTTTTATGTGTCGAGGTCACATCGTTATGATTATTTGGCTTGATATAACGCAGGAAAACACAATTACATATGATTTGTTATTATCAGACACAAAGTATGCGCGCGCGATGAGCATCTTGTTTTATAGTTACATGTAAAAGTAATCTCGACCCAAAGTGCATCAAATTATTATTTTCTGTACAAATTGTCTCTAAAGTAAAGGATAAAGCATACTCTTATGTAACTTTCATTCACTTAATTTACAAATCCGTGATTTCGAAATAAATGGATGGTATAGATGCAATTATAATTCTTATCCGAATTATTCTTTATATCTTTCCATTCATTTTGAAATGCATTTTATATTTTGCTTTGGTCCTTTTCTCACCCAACTTACTGAATGTTTTTTAATGTCAAAGCTGTATGCCTCAAAATGAGCCAAAATATTTTTTAAAAAATCAAACTTCGGAAAAATGAAAAGATTTTGAGAAAAGTAAAAAGACTCAAAATTCTAGTAATGATGTACATATTACGTGCGATTGATGATTTTGCAGTATTCATCACCGATATTTCTACATTGTGACTAAAGCAGTTAGGGTATTTTGTATATTCTGACCTTCTTTTTGTAAATTAAATGGATTGTATGTGCCGCTTTCAGTGTGTAAAATACTTTATGTTATCATTTCAAAATATTTTACTTTTAAATACATTTTAACATTTTCATGAAAATTTGCATGAATGTGGAGGCATGATTTCAATGTATCCAATAAAAAAATGAAAATAAATATAATAGATATTATTCTATTCTAGATATAAAATATAAAAAGGGGAACTGTAACAGAAGTCCCTTTTACTTTCAAACGATTAAACAATCAATCAAATTTATGTATAGAATTCTTAAAAACATTTTCTGAAATAAATCAAAATTGTTTTCTTTTGAATAGATTTTTGTTGACATAGGCTGAATATAGCCGGACTGTTAATACTCTTAGAACGAAATTTCAGTAAAATTGAAAATTCAATATCGGTGCATCCGGAGAAGATTTGAGCCGCGTCACGACAAAACCAACATAATGCGTTTGCGACCAGCATGGATCCAGACCAGCCTGCGCATCCGCGCAGTCTGATCAGGATCCATGCTGTTCGCTATCAGTTTCTCTACTTGTTATAGGGTCTGTAAGCGAACAGCATGGATCCTGATCAGACTGCGCGGATGCGCAGGCTGGTCTGGATCCATGCTGGTCGCAAACCCATTATGTTGGTTTTGTCATGACACGGCTAATTTAATGCTGCGTAGTTTCTTTTCGCACTTGAAAACACTGCAAAACGCTTTATTCATTATTCAGGATGAATTCTACATAATTCTAAGAGACTACCGGAACAATCGAAACGTTGAGTTGTCTAAATAAAGAGGAAACTCTGCATTTAAATTAAGCTTGTGAATACAATGTTTTAAAATGCATTGTCAAACATTATATGAAATCGTTATTTAAAATTGAAACAAATAAACTTAACGACTGTAACCATTGGATATAGTTCGACACTGTGTGGTTTTAAATAATGAATCATTACGCTCATATTTCATACATGTATCTAAAGAAAAGAACATTTTAAAGCAGTATCTGTGAAATTAATTATTCAAAAAAGAGGCCGTTCTAGTTCACCGTGAAAAGAAACAAGTGTTTGATAGCGGATTAAAAACTAGACTCCCCTTTGAAGCGCTGAAAATGTAATTTTGTTCTTGCTTGCCTATGTTACTTTTCTTCAATATTTTACCAACTTTTGGTGCATATCGTTTCAATACACTATGAATGGAACTTCTAACAAATCTTTATCAATCCATTAAATTCCATATATTTTTACAGAACTTGTAAACGAGGATTCCATTGTTGTTTCTCAGAAATTCATTTAAAGCTACATATTTCATACGAGTATCATTTTCTCCTTGTGTGTCCAAAATATAATGATTACGAAAAACTATTCTAACCCTCATTTGTTTATTACACTTATACGACGTTAGACTCTGTAAAAAACTACTATTAACATAAAAAATGTTTTATGTTACTTCTCATTTGCTTTCAATTACAGTTTTGAAAAAGAAATCACGTCAGGAAATGCTAAAATGTAAGAGATATTATTACAAAATACGTATAATTCTTTGTTAACCATGTATACTTGCCCTTTATATGTTTGTAGTATATGTGATTTGATATTGCTATGAATATTATAACATTTAATGCTTAATAAATATCATGTTATGTAAACTTATGTTTCATACTATTATGGTATTTGAATAGTCTTGGCGTTAAAATATAAATGAGCCGCGTCACGACAAAACCAACATAATGGGTTTGCGACCAGCATGGATCCAGACCAGCCTGCGCATCCGCGCAGTCTGATCAGGATCCATGCTGTTCGCTATCAGTTTCTGTACTTGTAATAGGGTTTGTAAGCGAACAGCATGGATCCTGATTAGACTGCGCGGATGCGCAGGCTGGTCTGGATCCATGCTGGTCGCAAACCCATTATGTTGGTTTTGTCGTGACGCGGCTCAAATGTTCCATCCCTCATATCAATCCTATCGTAAAATCTGCAAATTTCAATCAAACTCATTTAGTTTTTTTAAAGTACTGCTAACCATAACATTATAAAGTTATGTATATAAATTCTACATTATAACTAACCTGTTGATAAGTTATTCCATATTTTAAGATACCAAGTCACCATTTCTTTTGTATGGTTTTGATTTACAGACAAAATCTGTTTTAATTTATAATTTCAACATGAGCAGAACAAAAGTGTCAGTTTATTGGCTTTAAGTACATGTTAAAAGTTATATATAAGATCAGAATAAATTTCTGTTAGAATGTTAAGGATTAGTAAGACCGAGACTTGTTTGTTTAACTTTAATTTTGAAGTGAACGGATTCGTGATCAATTTATAATTTATACGTTCAACTTTGAATAAAGCGATTAATATTTCTAATCCAGAAACAAGCACACCATGGCGCCTAAAAGTTATTTTATTTAGGCTTGAAAACAACGCAATTAAAGCAATCCTGTCCATAGCGAAAAAAATGTGACTTTGACAGATTATCACAAAATATAGTTTACACACCAGTGTTTAAGGTAATCTTATGGAACCGCTAGTGTAGCTGTGAAATCAATCTCTCTGATTAAGATTTTATTGTAACATAAAGAGAATGGTAGTTGAAATAAAATGATTAAAACACGTTCCGAGCAACAACACAAACAGAACAGAACTTAATTAGTTTATTATTATTATATGGAGAATGTTTCCGTACTATTTTACAATTAAACATTCTTTTGCTAAAGAAGATTGTACTTTCTGTTCAAAAGATGTTACTCAAGGTTTTCAAACATTTGCAAAACAAGCAAACAAAAACCGTAAATGTTAAGATGACCATATGTTCAACGGAATTTGTGCTTTAAAATTTAAGCAAGTCAAAATATTCAGTTCATTCGTATCGCTTAAAATATTCCGTAGTTTTTCTTTTAGTAAGACATGCTAATTGTTTTGTGAAACTGTAACAAAAAATGACACTTAAAGGGGTCCGTACTTTTACACAAAAGAGAAAAAGAAAAAAGGCAAAAAAACAACCTTAATTACAAGGTGACATTTGTACAGAAAGTGGCACTTTCATGAAATTAAATACGGAGTTTAAGATATACGATATGTGTGTGTCGTTAATTATTATGACGACGTATAGATTATATCTATCTATTGTCAACACTACAATAAAATAACCCTTTCATTAAAAAGTCTTTCACTTAAGCTTTTAAAATTTTTACAATCGCTTGTTTATGTTTAAATTACTTAATGTGTTTGAAGTCGTTAATGAGATGTATAAAGAAGATTTACGTTCGCACCGTGGTGTGAATATAAAGTGGTTAGATTTGGTAGGAAAACCTTGACTTTCAACAATTATATACTATACTTCTATTGAAAATAACACGATAAAATAGTATTGGACATTTAATTTAATGATTTGTAAAACTGTGATATATAGAAGATTTTTTTTCTCCATTTTGACAATTTTGTATTTAATCATGAAATTACTAAGGTTAATTACAAACCTTGTCGTCATTTGTCAATAATAAAATACTGAAAGAAGTGAAATAGGAAAAAAAATAAAAACATAAATGTTTAAATCACTTAAATCATTCTGCCAAACTGACCTTAAACCTATGAAGACATTAATCAGGTGGTTTCCTTGTTATCATTTTTTGATTCCACACAAAATTACTATACTAAATGTCGCTTCTGTGTAAGCAAAGAATATCTATATATTATAGCGCTGTCTTTCACCTCTGCATCTCTGTTCACATATTCTTATATCAAAGTTTTGCCCAAGATGGTGGCGATGAGCACACCTTTTGATTGAAGACTGTCAGTAACAGTCAGGAATACGAGACGAACACTCAGGTACCGGGCACGAAATCTTATGTTGCGAATAAGTGTTTGATGTGCCAAACTCTTTTCAAGAGATATTGACAAATTGCTATGATATACACTTGATATATGTAAGGCTGGTTGCGCCTCTTGTCATCGTTGTGACGTTGTGACTCTAGACAAATAACTTTAACTTTAGTAAAAACTATCATGTCTTATAAATTACAAATGTTGCCGAGTTCTAGTCTTATGTTAAAAACTAACGGGTCAGTCTCAACTGGGTTATAAAGCATACTGACACTTTTTTATTTGCGATAATTGCATCGAATTGTCACAAAAAAGATAATTTAACACATATAGAATAGAAATAAAAGCTTTGACTGGTTCAAGACTGACGCCTTGGACATATATTTAACATTTTTTGGATTAAAATTAGCAATTTGTATTATTCCTCCTCAGTTACACTTTGTTTCTGGCGGCCACAGAAGCCGAAACGTTTTCATAATGTAGCATTGTTTATTGATGATAATAATTTATATTAATTCATGGTAGTCTTTTCGATGTAAGTGCATAATGTCATGCTGTTTTTACTCTTCAATGTAAGTTTGTATCATTTTCTGAAAAGTTTACATTTTAGTTTGGTACGGCCATTATATGAGCCTTTTAAATTGATTATATAATCAAAGGCAGACAGTGTATGGCGTTAACAGAATATCACTTACGTACTCTATTTATTTTTGCTTTAAAATTGATATAAAATCGAACGCTCTTTTAAAATGCTCGAACATTTAAAAGATAATAAATACACACTGGACTTTTTTATCTAAAGGATAAAAGTAAAATAATGAAAAGCTGTCTCCAATAAAAATGTCAATTATATTGCTCTAGATTTCTTATAAACGTACGTTTGATGAATAAATAATTTACACAAAATCTATGATTTTCTTAAGGATTTATAGTCCGTCCCACTTTCTTTATTGGACATATTACATGCTCGTTCTTGGAGACAAATAAAATAATGCCCATATTCGGAAGCCACTTGGTTTCACCAGTCAGAATCCTGCATGGTTTCAGACTTTGACACACCATGTTTCCACCTCAACTGCTTGAATACAACAGTGGAGGTCACCTTACTTTGTGAATAAAATCTGAGTTCCTGACATAGAGCCATGCACAAAAACGTCACCAAAACTGAGTGTTTATATATTTTTTAATTTAGTCTCTTTAACGGTTTGATAGGGTATACTATACATTATGATTATTTTTCAATAATGCTATTTCATGAACACACTAAAAGACTGTTGTTATTATTGTTGTTGTTGCTGCTGCTGCTGCTGTATTTCAATGTTTTCTTTGAATGCCTTGTTTTTTTTTGTTGTTTAGAATTCAGAACACATGCGAGATTGGGAAAAGAAATTGTTTTTTTTTGTCGCTGTTGTGTAAAGTCCCTTCCCCTGCCACTTAATTAAAGCTAGCTAGCGTTGTTTACAGTATCTATACACAAACACGCGTTTTTTCTTTTATTTTCTTCCATGGAAAACATAATTTAAAGCATACTTGCATGTGGCACAGCTGAATGATGTTAATTGTTTCGTGTATATCATACTTATATATAGTTAATTAAATTTAAAACGAATACGCCTACAAATTATATAAGACCATTCGTCAATATTTGACAGGTGAATTGTTTTTCCTGAAAATTTGCTATTCTTATCTCATTATATGGATATTTTCAATATTGGCTATTTATTTGAAAATGAAGTTTTTATGCTCGAAATAGATAATGTGTCATAAGATCTGATAAGGAAAATATCGTTCATAGCAACAAGCAACACTAATACAACAATAACAACAACAACAACAGCATTATGTGTTGTGTGACGAATGTGAAAATTTGCAATTTAAGACAATTCAAAGGAGGGACAATATCAAATTAAATATCCACAACCATTGGCTCGTAGTTATACATGTATATCTGAGATTAAATGTATATAACCGGTGTAACGTAACGTTAATTGTTCTCCGTTAAAAATAAAATCCGTTGCTTAGCATATCACCATGATTTTTTGAGCCGCGTCACGACAAAACCAACATAATGGGTTTGCGACCAGCATGGATCCAGACCAGCCTGCGCATCCGCGCAGTCTGATCAGGATCCATGCTGTTCGCTATCAGTTTCTCTACTTGCTATAGGGTTTGTAAGCAAACAGCATGGATCCTGATCAGACTGTGCGGATGCGCAGGCTGGTCTGGATCCATGATGGTCGCAAACCCATTATATTGGTTTTGTCGTGACGCGGCTCATTTATAATCATTATTATATAATAACACACAGCTTATGACACACAGATCAAATTCTGCCTAAACATCCCGTTTTTCGTCTTTTTCTAGTAAAATTCATATCAACATTTTAATAAAGTATTTACAAACATGCTCTTACCTTTGTAGTAGATATCTCAAAACTCTTCTTCAAAATCTTAATAGCACTTCATTTAAGTGTTAAAACATAGATATAAAATAGTTATATATAAATGTAATCAAAATCCATGTCGTATAGTGAGTTGTTTTTTTACGAAACTAGCGTTGTCATTTGTTGTACTTGTCTGACGTTGTAAAAGACTGTTTGTTTAACTATCCACATAAATTAATGGCTATTACATTGTTCTGTTCAGTTTATGTAGAATATAATTTCTCCCTGGGACAATAAATGCAACAATAGAATTGCCTTTTAAAAGATCTGTTCAATTAAAGAGAATTTCCATATTCAATTCAAACAATATAAAATCCACATTGTTATACGTCCATTCCGCTAGCGCGATTTTTTCCCTTTAAAGATCCACTTTTAATTTCATTGATAAGGAAAATCAATAATTGATCAAAAATTAGCGTATAAATAAATGGAAATATTTATACATGGAATTATACATAAATCTCCCAATCTTAAGAAACCCTTAAAATTAGTGCTTAAATTCCATGTCAGATATTTACTTATCTGAACGTATTTACACCATTGATTATCAAAGAGTTTAAACATTATGTCTGTAGTGAGGAGATCAGTTTGGGTTTAAAGTGATATCAAAATGAAATTCGATCGGTAGATAGCAGATCGAATGTTATTTTGTGCGTTTTGTATTTGTTATTTTAAAACATTATGACATATTGTAGAACATTTAGTGTACACACAAACTAATCGCTTCCCATCACATGCATGACAGTAGATCAAAGATAAATGTATATTATGTATATATACGATTGTTGAACCGATAAATCTAAATAGATACATGTAAGATAAAGTTACGATTATATATCGCAATATGTCCGACATGTTCACCTTATTAAACAGCATCAATTCTGTAATTTAAAATGATAAAAAATTCGACTCAATGAAAATAGCAAGTTTCAATATATATATCATTGGTCACTTGTAACCCCGAATCAAAGTTAATTATAGTGTCAAAGTTTTAATTTATTTGCAATCAGCAATACATTTGTCTTTGGCCATTTATAAATACAAAAAAATGTTATGACAACAGCAATGACATTTTATTATACAATTATTGACTAGTGAGCCATTGAATATGATGTGATATTCACCGGCAGATGACATATTGACCGAGGCGATAGCCGAGGTCAATATGACTTTCTGCCGGTGAATATCACATCATATTCAATGGCTCACTAGTCAATAATTGTTTTATTATATGAATAGGCTAAGGATTAAAAAAAATCACGAAAAAGTACAACCTTATATACATGTACAAATTTTGCCTCGTTGAAGCGCGGGAAAAAAGACGCACGTGCGAGGCGTGCAACAACTACACGAACGCTGCGCATACAAAAGTAATTCAAGTTTATACTCATCGATGCGGTTTAGGCTTTTAGTATAACAGTAAAGTAATGATATTTCAATCGAGAAATATGCCATAAAGAACAAAACGCAACAATTATTTTTTAATTAACACACGTAATTAACAGTCTACGGTGTATGGTCATTGAATATGAGTCTCAATCTATTTTTAGACTTGGAAAATCCAATTCAGCCAGTTAATATGATACTACACCCAGTGAATATGATTTTATAAAAAGTTCTGTTGACTACAGTTTGGACCAATGAGATTGCAGCTATTTTTAGATCATATAATAATATTTTTTATACCTAAAATTTATACATATATGGAGACTTTTCCAAGAAGAATAAAGCTATGTCCTTGTTCCATGTTTTATATATTGGAAATTAACGATGTCTCAACACTGAGAGGTTTAACTAGACGTTAAATCCCCGCGACTCATGCATAGCCCAAAGGCTCAATACGAACATGCGCACAATTTAAACATATGCTTTCAGCGATAAACATAAATAAACATATATATCATACACAATATGGTAAGGTAGAAACATTTTTTTGTTTGTTATATCAGTGTTTTTAAATTCTACAAAAAAAGAAGATTCGAGAAAAAAAAAACACGACCAATATCCATACAAGTGCCAATCATAAGCGTGACATCTTTATAAAATTTCGGTGAAATGTTGCTCTTGTATTGGAAGGCGAACATTGGTGTAAAAAATGTAATATTGGAAATATTACCCTGGTATAAATATAAATGACGATAAAAGACATAAATACATATGATGATAAAACACATATGATGATAAAATACATATGATGATAAAATAAATGATAAAGTAGCTTTAAATATTATGCTATCATAATATCTAACATGCTAAAACAATATTAACGTATAACACAACACAAAACCAACATAATGGGTTTGCGACCAGCATGGATCCAGACCAGCCTGCGCATCCGCGCAGTCTGATCAGGATCCATGCTGTTAGCTATCAGTTTCTCTACTTGTTACAGGGTTTGTAAGCGAACAGCATGGATGCTGATCAGACTGCGCGGATGCGCAGACTGGTCTGGATCCATGCTGGTCGCAAACACATTATGTTGGTTTTGTCATGACGCGGCTCATATTAACGTACAACTCAACACACAATGTGATATTATAGCAGAATGATATATACGAATTTTTCTTTAATCTGCGTCTGTAAACAGACATTATATTAATTGCTAAATGTGGCAGTTCTCTGAACATTGTGTTGTAACTTGGAAGTGGCCAGTTTATCGTAGAAAGAAATACAACAAAACTTTCGAGGCTGGTACATTTAAACATTTATACAAGGGATTATAAATGTATACATTTCAAAGTTTATAATTTCACACATATTTTCTGCTCGTTTAAGAACCCCGTGAACCTTTTCAGACTGAATGTAAGTAAAAGGTTATCGGGAAAGTTTCGTCTACCGCAATTTATTCGGCATGGTCGATTTCGTATTTGTTCTTCTTTCATTAAAAGATAACCTTTAGATAAAACACTATATTTGTTACCACGCATGGGGGAAACTTGAAAGTGTTTGTCAATACGTCAAGATGAAGATCTGTCGTTTCAAAAACGTTTTTTATTTGTCGAAGGAGATCGATTTCAGGATTTAACAAGAGCTGTCGGAAGACTAGTACGTCCCACTTTTCTCAGTGCTGGTTTGTTTAATGTACATTGTTACTTTGTAAATAAAGAGATAACTTGGAATAAATTTTTCGCTGACCTTGGCCTTTTGACTCAAAATGGGCATGGCATAAATAAGTTCATCTACATAATTATGTAGTAAATTTGAGATTGACCTTTTTTGGTTCGTTTTAGTCGAATTAGAGTGAACTGGTAAAAAACCAAATTGACATGTTAAAGAATCTTCTTATTCAAACTCATTGTTAATTGTAATGTAAATTAGTTTAGAAATGAAAACAGTGATACTTGAAATACACAAGTTCAAATCTTCCAGCTACTGTGACCTTGGCACACTACACCGTATATAAGCTGCGATCATGTATACCAATAAATGGTGAAATTCATAAAGAAACTGATAATTGCCATTATTAAAATATACTTGTACATGTATAACAAATACCAATGCAGTACTTCGCTGTGATCTTGACCTATGCTGTGACTTTGAACTTTGACATGGCTGTTGCATACACCGTTTAGTAATGGTGTACCAATTAAGGATGAAACCACACCACAGATATAACCCGATTCTGTGTTTTAGAAAATATGAGTGTGTTTTTTTTTTAAGTTTAATCCCGTACTTTGACCTTGACATAGTGACAAAGGTTTTGTATGCAGTTCATCGTCTACCTATGGTGATAATGACAGTAGATGCCAAAATACCAGTAGATGATAAATTCCATTATGTATGTAGAAATTAAGAACCAGATAAACTACGAATGCACTTAAGACTTTATGACAAATTGACAAAATTAAATCTGCTGTTACCTTGGTTTTGCATGCATCACATCAACTTACTTTTTGTTACTAAATACATGTAATGAAATTCAATAAAATATAACCATCAGGTATATCAGACATTTCATAATCTCGTCAGTATACTCGGGAACATTATATTTTTCTTTTTGATAGCCGATATATCAAATATTCTAAAAATTCATTTACGGTTTACATTGTAGTTAGTAACAATAATTTATTTTTACATTTCAATGTCATAGACGGAAAGAATAATGATGTTTCAAAAGCAAAGATCTACATTTCATTCAAAATCCATACTATAATCAAGGGTCTCTTGGGAGTGACCTAGTTCTTATCACAGAGAAATGTATAGTTCCATGTGATTACTTTCATTATAGATGCACACCGATCTTGCATGCACAACTTGAGGATTCATCCGAGGTCACAAATGATCAATTCAAGCAGCATTTGTCTTGGATAGTAATGTACAGTTTCTATCATAACAAAAAGTTACGACGAATATCTTCAGTGAGTTGTGGATATCATGTCCTCTTCATAAAGGATAATTCAGTAAAATCCATGCCAGAGTTATGGTTCTTGAATGGCATTAAGTTTCCAATTAACAACTGTACTTGTTAGATTAATCCTGTACGCAATCATCATATGATTAGAGACCTTTGGACAGTAAGCTCCAATTTAAATCTCAAAGACATGTGTAACGGTTCAAGCAAATACTTTCACTGGGATGGTCCTATTTTTCTAAGAGTCCACCTAAACAAGAGCAATCAGTGATCATGTGTCACCTGATAGCCATTTAAGCAGTCCCTATATCTCACTGCTTTGGTACTGATCATTCCTGTAAAGCTTCAATAACATTGCACGTGAGGTCCGGGCAAGTTTTTTGACGTACAGACAGGTGAAGAAATGATCCCTATATACATGTATGTCGCCAGAGCTCCTCTGTAGTACCAACACAAACAAGAGCTGTCCGTAAGACAGCGCGCTCGACTTTTTTATTGCTTGCCAATAAAAAAAGTTTTTGCAGTAAAAGGCAATACAAGAATCTCTGTATTTTTAAAGTGAACAATGGCCATAATTCAAATAAAATCTTTGACAGAATTACCTTCTCCTGGACATGTTTGGGAATCATGATTGTAAACAAGTATTCCAACTTTCAAATTAATATCTCAAACAGTTCAGTCAAAAAGTGGACTGGTACTAAAAACTTAACCAAGATTCTAAGTCGATAAAAGGCCTTAATTTTTAAAACAAATCCTTGACAGAGTTACCTTCTCTTGCGTACAGATGGGGGTAATGATGTGAAATAGCATTAAAAGTTTCAAAGCAATATCTCAAAGGGTTAAGGCAATAAGTGGATTTTACCCATATTCAATGTATTTTCTAAGTCAAAAAGGGGCATAATTCTGTCAAAAACCTTGACAGAGTTATGTCCTCTTGTCTGTTGATGAAGGTCGTGATGGTAAACAAGTATGGTCAGTTTCAAAGCAATACCTCCAATGGTTTTGAAATAAAGTGAGGTGGTACAAAAAACTTAACCAAGCTCAATACACTTTCTAAGTCAAAAAAGGGCCATAATTCTGTCAAAAACCTTGACAGAGTTATGTACTCTTGTCTGTAGATGGAGGTTATGATGGTGAACAAGTATGGTAAGTTTCAAAGCCATACTTGTAATACTTCTGAAATAAAGTGGGGTGGTACGAAAAACTTAACCAAGGTGTGACGCCAACGCCGACGCTAACGCCGACGCTAACGCCGACGCCGACGCCGGGGCGAGTAGGATAGCTCCCCTTTTCATAGAAAAGTCGAGCTAAAAATGGGTATTATGTTAGCTGTGTCAAAAGGCAACTTTACAGAAAATGTAAACTTTATTCAAAATATCTTTTCAAGCCAGTTGATTTATATCTATAAATGCCAAAAGTATACAAAATACATAAATATTGTAGCAAACACATCAAAAAGTAACAATTTCTCTAAGCCTTTTCAATTCTAAACAAAGAGATCAGACCAAAAATGTTGTTTAAAGATTCCAAAGTACGTCCACAAAATACACAGATACTGAAAGCTGTCATTAGTAATTTTTCATGTTATCATTTAAATAGTTAGTCAATATTATCCATGAACTAGTAATTGTGTGTCAATTTTCAGTCATTATCAACAATTATCACACTAATATTTAATTCTCTGCTTTTTCTTGATTAACGTCTTTGTTTTCTTCTGAGCCTTTAACTGGATTGTTGATAGATTCCATCTCAACGTCTCCATTATCTTCATCTGGTTGGGATGGCTCTATACTAGGTTTGGAAACCTAAAAATAAATGTTCATATAATGTTATACATGTAAATAAAAGGAAACATCATTTTTATAACATTATTCATTACACTGGACATTTAAGCTTTGATGAAATACACTGATGCAAGGACATACAGGAAAAACAATCAACACTTTGCTGTAGTGCCTAATGCTGCATAAAGAGCATAAACAAAACCATTTTATGATGTTATACAGATAATACTGTATACTTTTAAATTATTTCATCTTTACCAATGGGCAATTCTGTCTTGTTGAAGCCCATTATGTTAAATTTACTGGAAATTAAACCATCATGTTATGCATTATGAAGGGCCCATAACTGTAATCATTAAACTAACTGAAAGTTGTCAAATCCTTTAACACAACAAGCACATACAGGTCACATTAAAGATATCAGCTATTCATGATTTTAATCACAGTCAACCTTAACCTACAGGATTTACAGGAGTTATAAAAATAAGATTACATAATTAAGTAAGTTAATGGAGAAAATATCTGTAAATGCTTACCATCCAACTGATAGGAGAGACGAGAAATGTTTCAGTGAGAAATGACACAGTCTCTTGTATATAAGACATCTTTTCTCTGGCTTGTGTAAGTAACCACTGTGGCAAATCATCAAAACCCTGTGCCTGTAATAGATACATTACTTATATTAAGTTTTTATGTATAGATACTGCACTGATTCGGTAAAGAAAACAGGGCTTCAGTTGACAAATGGATAAGCTCTATTTCATTTGTGTGTGCATACATGCAGACTAATAACAATGATAAATGTTGTTTGAAGGGTTCAGCATTAAAATGATATTTCCTGGGCTTTCTCCAGCTATTACGAGAAAAAGGCCCCTGGCATGTATAAGGAAACATTATTCCACATTTTGGGAAATTGGAGCATTTTAAAAAGTTGAAAAACTAAATTTTAAACGACTATGTATAGGTTAGAGTGCATATTGGGTGTTCTTCGTAAATAAGAAAGCTAAAAAGGAGCGGAGCTTGCGAAGCGACTGTAGCTTTCTTATTTACGAAGAACATCCAATATGCACTCTAACCGGCTTAGTGCTCCGCCCACTTGCGTTTTATAATATAAAACGTCCAGTTTATATAAAATCTGTTCTATTAAGATTTGAAACCTGAAAAATCCTCGTCGGTGATTGGCTTAAAAAAATTGGCCAGCACTAATCAGTTTTTTCAGCATGTGTATTATCATATAACCTGTCACTTCTTTTAATAAACAAGTCAAAGAAGTTTGATTTATTTCAGCTGCCGTTGTTTTTTTATCAATTATGCAGGCTTAGTTTATTGTTTGTATCTAATTACGAATTAAATCAAATTAAATCTGGGATATTGTGATAATTTATCTCATAAAATTACTTTCATCAATAATTTATCAGAAAACTTACCTCTTTGAATGCCTGGTACAGCTCTTCTGTATACTTGAGAGAATTTTCCATTCTTTCACGAACAACTGTGGGTTGAAGGCGGGTAGGGAGATATCCTGACACAGTGGTCATACCTTGTTTCACCTGTCTGGTCAGTCGTCTACCAATTACAATAGTTTTACCTTCTAGTGTCTGAAATAAAACAGTCGTCAATTTATAGAAAAAATGAATGGTAACAAATAGAGTCAGGTATTTATCAAAATTAATCAAACAATTTATTTTTCTGAAATACCTACTGACCTTAATTTATACAGGGTTTTCATTTTTATTCTAGACAACAGATGTGCCAATGAAAACAACTGATTTGGCCAACAGTCAAGGGGGATATTTTAATCTACAGGCTGAAAGTACCACCTATTTTAACAGCATTTTAACAGATGATATGCCTTGCCAACCTGTGTTGCCTCTTATAAATTCCTTATAACTATATACATGTAATTAAATCCATTTAAAAGAATTGCCCTGCTTAGAATTTCAACTTGTCCATTATAGCAACTTCAAACACAAAATGCTAAATTTTGACAGCAAAACATAGAGCTTTAGCTGACTGAATAATGTGCACAATGGTCTGGCTGTTAATGGTGATGTAATTTTCGCACTTGGAGGGTTAAAAAGTGCCATTCTTTGCTATTAAATACATTTATATGCAAGCAGTTGTTTCATGATATTCAAACAGTTTTTATCATGAAGAAAATAGCATGAAACTTTACATGAAACAATTAGCATCTTTGTTAAAAATTTTTAAACAAAGATTAGTTATTGTCTAATTTTGAAGTAAACAGGTGATTTATTTCTCAATATTATAGTTTGTTACTGTTAATAGCAAGCTCGGGATGATAAATATCTGTCCATGTATACTGGTTGTCTAGAATTGATCAGCTCTATAACATAGCCTGTACACTATCACCACTTGTACTCAAACACCGTATCATAAACTACTCACTTCTGGAGCATCTTCACCATCAGAATCAGCATCATCATTAATTTTCTCCCAATACTCGGCCATCTTGTTCTGAGCTATCTCATATTTCTCCTCCAGCGTGTCTTTCATCTCCCCAGCACCTGATTTGGCATACTGGATCTAAAAATAGAAACAATTTTCTCAGTGATTAAGTTTTCTGTGATAGAAAGGAACTAAGTCTTTAAGAAAATTAATTTTATAAACTATAGAAAACATTTAAAGAAAAGCCTTTTTTCCAATCATACTGTCAAATAAATGGAAAGCACAGGCATTTCAAAAGCAAAACATAATTTTACTTTGCCTCCCAATAGCAAAGTGTAACATTTTTAACTTTAAAGACTGCGCAAGTGTAGTCTGGCCTTGCACAGTATTCAAAGAATTAAACTTAACAAGTCAAATATGGTCAGTATTCAAAGAAAGAAGCTTACCAAGTTAACTGTGGTAAGTATTCAAAGAAAGAAGCTTACCAAGTCAACTGTGGTATGTATTCAAAGAATTAAATTTAAGAAGTAAACTGTGGTAAGTTTTCAAAGAATGAAGCTAATATCAAGTCAACTGTTGAAAGTATTCAAAGAATTAAACTTACAAAGTCAACTGTGGTATGTATTCAAAGAATGAAGCTTACCAAGTCAACTGTGGTATGTATTCAAAGAATGAAGCTTACCAAGTCATCTGTGGTATGTATTCAAAGAATGAAGCTTACCAAGTCAACTGTGGTATGTATTCAAAGAATGAAGCTTACCAAGTCAACTGTGGTATGTATTCAAAGAATTAAATTTAAGAAGTAAACTGTGGTAAGTTTTCAAAGAATGAAGCTAATATCAAGTCAACTGTTGAAAGTATTCAAAGAATTAAACTTACAAAGTCAACTGTGGTAAGTTACCAAGTAATCTATTGTAAGTATTCACAAACTTACCAAGTCAAATGTGTTAAGAATTAAAAAGATTCAAGCTTACCAGGTCAACAGTAAAGTTAAGACCCTCAAGTTTCTCCTTGCTTCTCATCTGTAGTCCTTTAAGGTCCTTCATTGCCCTCTTGTACATTCTTTCACGAAGTTTTGAACTAAGGGAAGTAACTCTTGTCATAGGTCCAACTTCATCCACTTCCAAGGGAGCTAAATAATATAAATAATACATTCCTTCCTAATTATGCCTTATAACACAACATAACAATTAAAATAAGATAAAAAAACACCTGTACAAATGTTCGTTCTAAAACATTCATTTTTAGGACCATCCATGCCGGAATTACTATCTAGAGCTTCGTCTCCCCAACCAAAAAAAGAGGATCACTTATGGACCTAAAAAAGTTTAGTGATATCCTTAATTTAAACATGCATGTGTAATATTTCTGGACTTATTTTCAGTTGGGTCTTAAAAAAGGCAAATATAGGTAAAATCAATCGATATTGTTAACTTTACAAGGGTAAGAATCAAAGCTATCACCTGTTAACTTTACAAGGGTAAGAATCAAAGCTATCACCTTTTTCAGCCTCTGTCATTTCTTCTTCAGAAGGAGGCAGATATTTTTCGACATATTCCTCAGACACTGTCAGTGCCTCATTCACTTTCTCCATGGCAAATTTTCCAAGAGGAGATTCCAGAGTTCTGCTCACTGTTGTCATACTGTAGTCCTTTACAGCTTCAACCTTCCCTTTTGTTGCTTCATACTGAAAGTATAAACAAATAAACCTTTCATCATATAATATTTAGTTTTAATTATAGTTTAAAACAAATCTTATTAAGCATAATTGTCATCAAGGAAGCTTTTTTTAATTGCTCTTGAGTCAACATAGTACTAATGTCATATGAGAAAATAAACCAACTTTGTTAAATGGCTTAATCCAGCCTGTCCATTTCAACTTGCGCAATTAAATGTAACAAGAGGGCCATGATGGCCCTGAGGTCGCTCACCTCTATAAAGGCACCCGGAGCGGGGCCAGTTTAAACCCCAGGGCTTTTATTTGAACAAACTTGGAAGACACCCATTAGAAGATGTTGCACAATGTTAAGTTTTTACTACACACATAAAATGAAAAACAATGATATACTAATTTTGACCCCAGGGCTTTTATTTGAACAAACTTTGTAGACACTCACTAGAAGATGTTTCATGCACAATATCTAAACTCAAGCTATTTGGGTTTTTTCAAAAAAGATTTTTTAAGTTTTTGCTATACACATATATATATATATATAGGGAAAATCAATGATGTCCCCCGGGGCAGGGCCAATTTTGACCGCAGGGCTTTTATTTGAACAAACTTGAAAGACACCCATTAGAACATGTTTCATGCTAAATATCTTAGCTCTAGCTCTTTGAGTTCTTTAAAAGAAGATTTTTTAAGTTTTTACTATATGCATATAGGGAAAATCAATGACCCCCTGTGGCGAGGCCAATTTTGACCCCAGGGCTTTAATTTGAACAAACTTGGTAGGCACTCATTAGAAGATGTTTCATGCCAAATATTTAAGCTCTAGTTCTTTGGGTTTTTTAGAAGAAAATTTTTTAAGTTTTTCTTATTGGTTGCCATGGCAACCAGAGTTTTAAATGGAATTTAAATTTTTGAACAACTTTGAAAGGGGTCCACCTAAGGATCATTTCTGTAAAGTTTGGTTGCAATTGGCCATGTGGTTTAGGAGGAGATGTTGTTTGAAAAGTTTGACGCCATTTTTTGAAGGACGCACGAGGGACGCAGAGTGATGACAAAAGCTCACCCTTGAGCACTTCGTGCTCAGGTGAGCTAACAAAAACGTAACAGTTCTGTGTTCTAAACTATATTCAGTGTATTAAAATATTTACATATTAAAAGAGGCATGCAGGACTAATCAAGATCACAAAATGTAGTGGGTGATTAAGTAGGAACTTCATACTAGATCTGACATCTGATCAAAATCCTATGACATGTCATGATCTAAGAATTATTTGTAAAGTTTCAAGTTGTTATGAAGATGCAGTTCCCAAAGGGAAATAATTCAGAACAAAACCACGCTTCAATAAACCTACATGTACCTCATTAGTATATGTCATTTCAATTGTTCTGTACAACCCAAAAGAAGATTTTGAGCCTTTTTGTCACACATTTTTTCGCAGCATTTAGAAGCAAAATGAAAGAAAAAATCTTAACAACATACTGTTTCATGTCCTTTGTTAACCATTCCATTATATGTGTCCTTAACGGCGTTCACCCTGTCAGTAACAGGTTTGAGCACCCCAGCACACTTATCCTTGCCCTCCTTGAGGAGCTCATCGGTTGGTTTGGTTATCACTGGATACTGTTCTTCCATCAATGCCAACTTTTCACAAGCATATGCATTAACTGCCTCAACTGTTGAATAAATAAAAATAAATTGATGTTTTTGCTGAAATACATGTAAATAGCTATTTCACCTTTATTTATAAATATTACTTTATATAAATATTTGAGTTAAGATTAACATGGGAGAGCATGGCTCAGTTCACAAAGTCTAGCTCTCACAATATTCAACACAGTGGAATACTCGAAAGCACCAAGATATTACAGGAACTATATGAAGCCAAAATACATGTATTAGGTTATTGTTGGGGTGAGGTGCATGCTGTTCAACATGTATACTTGAAACCGTGGTAACAACTCCCTGTGGTATGATCCAAGTGATGGTTAACATAAAAAAGATCTGCATAATATTACAATAAAATGCTAATTTTCCATCACGTTTGAAATTTTTGTAATATTTCTTTCTCAGACTTAATACTTTAACTTCTAAAAATAGCACTGAATAGCTCGTTTAAATGAATCATGTTAACTTACTTTGTGGCTGGTATTTCTCAACATAGGGTTTAGCTGTAGAAACAACTGATTGAACACCTCCCTCGGCCATGTTACATGTAGCCCTCAATAAAGAGTTGCTTTCCTTGGTCTTGTTGTAGATGTCACAGGCTTGAGTCCATGCTGAGCTCACAACTGGTAAGTTACCAAGTTTGTTTATAAACTGCTCATCGGCTACTTGCTCTTGTTCCATATTTTCTTTTCCCTCTATTTGCTCCATGTTATGATCTCCTGTTTTCTTTTCAGCACTCCTGAAATCCAAAATTATGTTAATGAGTATAAAATAATAGCCTTACAAACATGTAAACTACTATGGGGTAGTAGTTACAAAAATACATAAAATCTAGATCAATATGATGTAAATATCCTAAGGCCTCTACCAAGGAATTTCTACTTAACGTTAACACATTCCCTAGGGAAGGGCTGGGGATAATGAGAAAAGTGATGTAACCACGTTTCCCCCAACACTATAACTTTTTCTTAAACTCCTGTGGAATAGCAAAGACTTTGATTTGTGTACTGATTAAACTTGTCAAAGAGACACCGAAATATTTTGGGATAGGTGATGTCATTTTCCTAATATACATGTAAGTTTGACCAAGTTGACAAAAAATAAAAACATTTTGTCAAGCAGCCTAGGTCTAAATAAGGCTAACAGGGAAGATACATTGTTTATACATAAATTTATAATTACACTTTGTAATAATGGTTATTTCCATTAAAAAATCAACCAATTAATACCTTCTGGAAATATTAGCCTGTTAGCTACAGTGAATTATAATTGCATATGTGCTAGCTAGATTAATTCATATTAATGCCTACACTCAAGAGCTATTTTATTTCTTTTCTAGATACATGTATAACTTGGGATAATGTAACTGACTAAAAAGCTTCACACACCTGGCTGATAAAGTTCTCACCTGTTAATTAGACTGTTATATTATAAATATCACTTCCGGAAAAACCAAACAGTATAATATAAAAGTAAATGTAAGTTATTTTTTCTTTGTACAACTTGCTGGGTACCATAATGATATAGGTGACCATCCTAAAGCTGTATTGCATAGTAATTACTTCCGGGAATTTAAACATCAATTAAGAATTGAACTCTGATAAATAAATACGATAAATAATGTTTTTGTAAAAGTTTCACTTACCTATTTACTTCTATGCTCTTTCTTTTATCTCTCTGAATAAGTTTGTCTTGTTATATATACGTTTTCTGAACAGACAAATTACGTTTCACTTGTCCAAAGTCCACTCTATTAATAGTCTAGAAATGTCTTCAACAGTAACACGTCATTTTACTCATACTCACGTGAACAGCAATGAGGCCCACGCGGTGGTTTGTATTAAACATATAATGAGAAAGTAGATTTTATAAATTTAAGTACATTGATATGCCTTTCCTTACTTAAATCAGGGACGTATGTATGTAATGATTATTTTTACGAACAACAATCATTCGGCTGAGTTTAACTCATTACATTCATATTATTCAGCATTATTTCCACTGCACGTACGGAATGAAGTCAATTTCAGTAAACGCACGGAATGATCTTTATATAATGCCCCAACTTTATGTTACGCTTTCTAAGATCTTTTATATCTTTTATGTACAGTAATGTATACATGTACCTCATATAAGTACCTTTTATAAGCCTTAGTACAACGTCTACATCTTACATTGGTAACATGTACATTTACATATTCAATTCTTAAATTACAATATCATGTTGTTATATACATGTAGATCAAATATAATTGTTTTCACAGTGACATAAATGAATTGCATCCCTATGAGGAAGAGCAGATATTTAGAAACAGAGCCCGCCTTACAATGTTTTTTTTTTCTTTTTTTTTTCAATGCGACTTTGGTGCTATACTTGAATATACACGTTCATGAATGCAGGTCTATGGAGAACTTACTTCAGAACTATGTATACATATTTAACATTTTTTACACCTTTTCATAATTATAGTACCCCTGAAAAAAACTCTTGCAAATCAACCTACATTAGCTTACCAAGCAGGATCTTTTAAAATGTCTCTTTAAAATTACTTTATTATATCGTTATAGAAAACGTTTAGGTTTTAAATAGATCTACATCTTCTTTTACACAGATCAAGACTAACACAATTAATCTATCATATTTCATTATTTTAATAATAACTTGAACATCACGAAAAATGTTTTGCCCCAGATCATAATTAAAAAGCTAGCTCCAAAAGCATGGAGAGACTTAATTTATTTAAATTGCAGTTAAAGTCGTGCTATATGCCAGTACATTTCACATTAATTAAACATATCTATAATCTTCACTTATCATGACGGAGCGTAGTTATTTTTGCAAGAAGAAAAGCAAGGAAGTTGAGGTTATAACGCTTATATATATCCTTATGTTCAGTTAATCATTATTTATTCCTTATACAAATGTAGCAGCGACTGGCCTCACGTTATCATTTATGAACTAATGGTGCCCGGCTTTATTCTATCAACATATAGGGGATGATAGGCAACATCGTACACATTTCATATAAGGCTGAACACATCTAAATACCGACACTATAATCTTTTGTGAATGCTGATGATAATAAATTTTCAAAAACACATATTTTTATTTTTTAGTTATATAATAGTAAGTTATATAGTAGATCTAGTTAGTATATTCAAGCATTAACAAAACTTTACATGTTGTTACAGACAGATTCCAAAATCATCCGCGTTTACAGTACATGAAGTACGACAGTACGATGGTGATCGACTGTCACCACCGTACTAGCTGTCGTACCGTCAACATCGTACTTTCGTATACTTTCACCATGGTACTGTCTCCATCGTACTGTCGTATTGGCACCACCGAACTGTCGTACTGTCACCATCTTCAGTAGATAAGAACATGTAGATATAATATTTAGATAGTATAATTAATTATTGTTTATACATTCTTTAATAATTGTATTGTGTCATCAAATAATAGCAAATTATCGGTATACGAAGACCTTAAGAAATATGTAAAATGGTACGGTATATATTTCGGTGATTTAATCAAAAGGTTGAATTGCGGCACATAAAAGAAAAAAATATACATATTTATATTTTCAATCCATCAGGCTGAAAGTAAGACAACTAATAAGTACCCATATATGTGTTAAAATTCATTAAAAGTATGACATTTAATTGTTGATTTCATCAAGGCTTTAATTAAAATATGACGTCAAAAGGCGTATTTATAAATATTTCTCTTCAAATTGAATGAGAAAATAAAGCACGCAGCACTGCCATGAATTTGTAGTTATAAGTGTACTGACATGGTAGAAAATTGTTTAATACAAATAAAACACAAATAAGAAGATGCAAAATAATGTTTATACTTTGTTTATATGTTTTATCAACCTCAATACAATTATGAACAAAAACAGATAATTACAAAACAGACACATTTTAGAAACACAACTATCCGTCATTTTGAAATGCAAGGGGAATAATTACAAGTCAAAATGTATTCAAAGCTGAAAGGGTAGTGTATCCTTTTTTTGTTTTTTTTTATTATATTTTCTTTTGCATAATATTTCTATTTTGACATATAAATATGTATATTGTTTAATACATGTATATTGATAAATTTATTGTTGACTAATCCCAATATTAATTCATATGTTTATATACCAATAAATGTGACTTTGAGCTATGTACAATGGCTTTATCACTTGTGTATTGTGATATTCATGAAATAATTCTTATTCTCCTTCTTCTTTCCATTGAACGCTTACGCAACGAAAATTTTTGTTCATCTGGCCACGAAAGTACAGAGTCAATTTATAAAAGGAAATAGCCGTTCAGATTTGTAACTCTTTGTTCGCGTTTAATTTGATTATAATTACAAACAAAAATGCATGTATTTTTATTTAGTAATTTGTTTCGTTCTTTGCATTTCTTCATTTAGAGCTGACTTGTCATTTTCCGTATAAAAACCAATAAATAAATAAATAAATAAATAAATAAATAAATAAATAAATAATAAAAAAATGTACAAAACAGTTTTCAACAATATAATCCACTACTTTATTTTATAAGAAAGATTGTTGTAACGGAAGAATACAACTTATTTTGTAGACTTGTTGTTTACTTCACCTGATATGTTTCATAAACAGCTTTGATAATTTTAGAATAGTGCTTGAAGAAAAGCTGAAGACGGGTCTCTCCTGTCACAAATTTAATTACAATATTACTCGGGAGGATCTACTATTACAAACAATAACATAATGTTTCACTAAATACATTATTACTCGGGAGGATCTACTATCACACATAATATGATGATGCTTCAAAGAAATCATCAGAGTTCCAATTAATTACATTGTATAATAACGATACAAGATTTTGAATTTCAGAAGAAAAACAAACCTATTAACAACATCTTGATGCATTTGTGCTTGATGAAATAATTTTATCTTTACCGTAAACAATTGAAACTAGTGTAAAATCAAATCACTTAAAATTCGTTTTCAATACGATCAAGTTGTCAAATAAGGACTTAAAACATTACTACTTGATAATGTATTAATATTTTACTGCAACTATGTTTATTTATGTTTGAAAATCGTTTAAAGAGCTATAGTATTTCCCCTTCGTCAGGCGTCCATCGTCGTTCGCCGATAGTCGTCAGCAATTTCTTCAAGCAACATCTCTTCTTAACATAGGTGAGCTAATAGCTATATTCATAATATTTGTAAATGTGGGGGGGAAATCTTGTACCTTTGTCACGGCCAACAACAAAACCTGCATATTATATTTACTTATTTATAACAATATTATACCAAAACGTATACGAATTTTATTCAGCGTAATACAAAATGCATCGTTTACAGTCAAATAACAATAATATAGAAGTAAAGAGTAAAATGAACATTTTGAACAAATTTTTGAAAAATTAAAATTTATTTTGGACCATAAGATTGTAACTTACCGAATACATGATATCCAGAGAAATTCGTTTGTGATTTTTATACGGCACACATACAGGGAGGGTGATCACGTTACATTTGTTTACGGTGACACTGGGCCATCGCAAATGACCGCGCCCATTATGTTAAAAAAAGGTTTTTGCTAGCTTTTCGTTTTATCTATTAATGCTTGAATAACAATCATATTACACGTTTAATTCAAATTGTCGATTCATATGGTACATAACTTTCCATTGTAGCTCTTTTTTAATTTTCCCATTATACTAGTTTGCAGGATTTTTTCTATGCGGTAATATTTTGATAAAAATATACATAATCATTGTGACAATTTTCTTTTATTTATGCTTATTAATTATGTTTACGTACAATAATTAACATTATATTCTTAAAACTGTAAAGCGGATTAGTATGTATGATCAGCTCATGTACATGTGCATGTACATGTATATCAACATGGCATTGGTGAAAGAGCTACATACTTAAACAACAATAACTAGAACTAACAAATAAGACAAATACCCCCCCCACCACACACACCTGATCAGTATGACACAGGTAGTGCCATTTATCCTTAATTTTGAAAAACAATATTTGTTAAGTTTGAAAACAAGTCATATGAAAAGAATAAAATTTACGGTGCAGATTTTCGACCTTGTGACCAAACTTAGGAAACATTTACACATTGCAAACGGAACTTTACATCTACGAAATTTACCAAATATATGCCGAATTTGCAAAAATAGACGTTACTGCGTTAATTACTCAATAGGAATATGACAATAAATACTGCAAATCAGTCATTAATTGCATATCACACGTGAATTTCTTGAATTTTGAATATTTTTATTAAACTATTAGTATATTTTCCCAAAAGTTGATTTTCTTGACATATTTTGTCTCATCTGGAGGCATACAGCTTTACTCGCATCTGTTGATCAATACTAGTCTCTATAATACAACATTGATTAATCATCACAATACTCATCAGAAACTAGAAAATTGGAACTCTGATATTCTCTGTAATTTTAGATCATTTAGTAAACAATAAAGAAAAATGTCGCGGCATCTACCTATTTTGGTCTTTGAGTTTAAGCTTTCATTAACAACTTATCTTACGTAAGCCGAGATGTATTCTGTAATAACAGTCAGGTAATTTAAAACATTCTTTTCACCCACCATAGTTCATATATGTGTGCTTCATCTGTGACCTGAGGTCTATATAAGATTTTTAATTGCAAATGTAAATTGAAAAGAAAAGAAAACTAAACGAAATTAAAGCGTAAATTGAAAAAAAAACCCACAAAAGATAGATTTAACATATATCATAAAGGAAAGAAAATGTAATGATCA